CTAATGACTGATTACTATAATCGTGTTGCATTCATTTCCCTTACGTGCCTTGCATGCAGGCGCACCCTTTCTCTCCACTAATACTAGCAGCGAATATTTTAGCAGCCTATTGCCACTGACTTGTTTGGTGTGAGGAACAGGAAATATTTTGCTTTCGGAGAACAAGAAAACTAGATTTATTTGCGTTATGCTTATTAATTTGTGCATTTATTCAGTGTCTGGTAAGCTAATGTTCAAGAAAAAAATATTAATTTTACTAAAATGTTCTATTATTTTATGTTAACGGTTACTCATTTACTTCAGCCCTTTGTATTCTGCATGTCTCTACTGAAATAAACCTATGTTTCTATGAAAATTGAAGCTTTTGTTTTTTTGTGGCCCACATAAACTTAAACCTTGTTTATTTGACCCATGTTAGCCTTTGAGTTTGACATGCTTGTTGTAGTCAAACACACTCCCTATATAATGAAGCCACACTAGTCAAAGATTTTCTTTCAAACACAAGTACCAACACTGGCTCCTCTTGGCCTCACAGGTGCAAAAGGTCTAGTGACTTCTGGTGCATTAATTCATCTTACCCAGCATTTCTGGGCACTTGTTCCAGGTGAACGCCCTGGGCTAGCTGTCTTCCTGAAGAGGGACATATACACACACTCACTCGAGTCTGCAAGCAGCCTGGCGGGTTGGGACAACTTAGGAAAAGATGGGCATTTAGGAATGAGAGCATCCAGCCTTGAAGGGGCACTTAGGACCCTGAAAGGGCTGTAAAGAGAATTTGGAACCCAACCTGAATGTGACAGGAAGCTGAGGTCCAAAGAAATTGAGAGGTCTGCCCCAGATGCCCACCCACTTGTGGCAGCATTGGAGCTGGTACTTTGGGATACCATCTCCTAAAGTTTAAAATGATTACTCTTTCCTGCCTGTACTTCTGAGAAATGATTCCATCACCCTCCCTATTTCTCCCATGCCCATATCTACCAGGGCTGAGTAAAGTAGCATGTGGGGAACATGCTACTTAGTTTTTCAATTACAACACGGACACTCTGGTTGAGGTGATCAAGAGAATCCTTCACAAGCTTCCTCTTTTTTCAGCTGCTCCTGGGCTAGGCTGCCTCAGCATGCCACCCTTTGGTCAGACAGTCACCAGACAGACACTAATGTGCTTGGAGATAAACATGCCCAAAGCACTAAAACTTACTTTCACAAATTCATAAAAATAAGTGTTCTGAACATCAATATTACTGACACTTACTGGAAGAAGGAAAGCAATACGGGTACTGACTGCAATGTGGAAGCTTTATGAATCACCTTTCTGCAGAACAAATTGGACATTTTAACAAGCCCTTTAAATCACTCATATGCAAGTCTTCCCCGACTGCCGACTTCGTAATGAAAGTAGAAAAAAACAGAAGTCTGACAATAGCACATTTCTTTTCTGTAAACAAAGACTACTGTGTCGATATTTGTGAAGATGGACTTACTCTGAAAGTAATTTCAGTGAAATGACGCTGCTAAGCACACTGATTTTTATTTATTTCTTCTTTAAAAACTTTAATAAAAAGCTCAAGAAGTGAGCAGGTCCTTTTATGCGTAAGGGTTTTATATGCTCAGTGTAAGCACACCCATACTTCTTCAGCATACCATTTCAAAAATGCTGTGTAAGAGGTGGTGGATTCTGCCAGACACATAATTTGTATATTTAAGGGAAGTGTATGGAATGAAAAAGCAAAATATGTTAAATTTCAAAGGACTTGAAAGCAATGCTGTCTGTGAGCTTGTATTACAAATAGCCCTACATTATTACATACACTATTAATGAGGCCGAATGAATGAGGGTACAATTTTGAATATGCATGACTCTGTCCAATGAGCAGGACTTTTGTGTACTGATGAGATTTCTTTTCCTCCTAAAAAAGGATTAAAATTATTTTTAGAGAGAAGTATGGCTTCCCAGAGACCAGTCAAATAAAGGTACTTAGACCACTGAGTCACACTATATTCAGATGAAATATACAGGTGCTGAAAGACTCTACCTAGAATTTTTGAAATTTGTACATATCCCATCCTCCCAAAAGGAATATTCCTCAACTTTCAGCAGCTGCATCAGTACAATTTCTAAGCAAAAGTAATGATTTTTGGTGGAGATCCCTAAATGTTGGCAAGGTTAAATAAATAAACCTTCTGAACACAAAGCCTTCACTTTCATAGTAAGGAGCACAAGTTAAAAGACTAGGGAATGGGTAAATTATTGCACCAAATGGCTGAGAATTAATCTCTGCTGACTAGCTGTAATCTAACGAGACGTCTGTGTCCCAGGGAGCCCGCAGCATGTCCCTGGCGGTATGTGCAGTGTGTCGAGTCTGCGTGGCACCCTTTGTCCTCGCTCACAGGCGGCCTTTCCCCCCATTGTCCATAATATCCTCATGCATCTGGGACGCGTGGAATGCATTCACACTAACAGACTGACCATTGTTTTCTCCCAGAAGCTTTGTTGAGCAAAGACTGCATCACGGTTACTGATAATTATATTGCTTAATTAATCAAGACAAAAAAAATTTGCAAATCATTGCCTGGTTGCCAAGCAGGGAGATAAAAAATGACAATAATACAAGCTGAAGCAATATAACAAAAGTAACAGCTATCTGATCAGAAATTCTTATATAATGAAGCTATTAATGCTAAATCGGTTAATGTTAACATTGCTCCAGGTGTCTCTACTTAGATGCAAACAAAAAGGCTAACATTATGGATATAAAAGGCCAAATGTTGCCATGGATTCTGTAACCTGATAGAGAGGACAGCCTTTTCATTTGATTAGGGAATGCAATTTAAATACCAGGGACTGAAGCCAAACAAACAGACTTTCCCTCCACAAGCCTCTTGCATTCACCCTGGGGTCAGTGGTTGGTGAACAAAAGGTCAGCCACACTTGCCCTGGAAATGTCTGGATTAATTTTATTACATTGTAATGGTTTGTACTTTAAATGTAGGGATAACACTAAATTTCCAGTTGGTCATTATTCTCTTCTTCCCTTTAGGCCTTTTGAATTGAAATATTAAGAATGTGATTTGCTCAATTCATCTTGCCAGAATTCATGACCAAATTTTAAAACTTAAATACATTAAAAATTTTAAAAAGGTATGTTACTTGTTTTCATGCATTATAAGTGTAATATATTTCATGTTCTTTATATATTATAGAAATAAAGGCAACATTTTTAAAACATTAAGTGATATTTTAGAGGGCCATGTTGAAAATGAACTAATATAACCAATTAATCCATACTAAATATTAAAGAAACACATTTTCCAGTTTTGAAAGTTACTGGATAATAAATTTATTGATTGTCTAATACTAAAATTTTTAGTTTAATTCTTAAAGTTGAAGTACTCTTTATGGATAAACATAAATGTTACTAGCACTAAGAGCATTTTCTTATAAAAAAAAAAAAGAGAAAACTTCACATATGCAGAAACCTGAATCAAAGATAATACAAATATTTAATATGAAAAACTTTTGGCATCTTCGCTCCCTGAATAGAAAAGAAAGCTCCCTTTATGTCAGGCTTCTCACCAGCCAGAGGGGGACTTTTCTGAATCCGTGACCCATCCTGTACCTAGTCTGAGAAATAATTCTGTTAAGCTTAGGGATTATTATTTATTCTATTTTCATATAACAAAAATAGTAACAGCAATAATAATAATAACAACAATAACTAACACTAATAGTTAAAAGTTAAATAGCTTTTACTCTGGGCCAGGCACTGTTTGAAGCACCTTTCATTTTTTAGCTCACTTAATTATCCCGACTTTAACAGTTTAGATTAGGTTATATACCCCAGTAAATCTCAGTTACCTACTATTTTAAAGCTTAAAAACACTGAGTATTTAGAATGGTAACTTTAGCTCCTTTAGAAGAATAATTTAGAATGTAATTTAAGATTATTTTTTTTAATATCAAGCTTAAGTACAAGTCATTTTCTTGAGGAGTGACTTAATACACTAAATGTTTAATTAATACACTTAAAAAACCCTTCTATGAATAATTCCAAAACAAATACAAGTCCCTATATGAAGCACTGCTGAAGTACCACTAAAGACATGGCAAGGATCAAAACTGCATCCATGCCCTAGCCGGTCTGGCTCACTGGATAGAGCGTTGGCCTGGGGACTGAAGGGTCCCGGGTTCGATTCCAGTCAAGGGCATGTACCTTGGTTGTAGGCACATCCCCAATAGGGGGTGTGCAGGAGGCAGCTGATCGATGCTTCTCTCTCATCAATGTTTCTAACTCTCTATCCCTCTCCCTTTCTCTCTGTAAAAAAATCAATAAAATATATATTATAAAAAAAAAACCTGCAGCCAATTTAGTACATTGCACACAATCATTGGATGGTTCCAGCCTTTCCCATGATCAGTACCATATGGCATGGCTGAATGATTCTGTGGCAGGTGTTTCAATGGCTAAAAGTCATCACCTGGGCCATGCTACAGAAGGCCAGCCTCTTCCTGGACATACCCATAATCCTTTAGGATTGACCCCCCCCCCCCCCCCCATTAGCAACAGTTAGCCAGGCTTGGCAAGCAGTGCTCATCTATTAGGCGAGGGTGAATTCTACAACCATAGCCATCCACAAAGGCTAGATGTGATATGGGGTTTGTTCAATTCTTATTATTATTCAATATGCCCCAAATTTAAAAGTATACTTTTTTTAAATTACAAAATTTGAAACATTTTTAAAATCATACATTTAAAACATTTAAAAAAATCAGGCTAAGTAAATAATATATGGAATTCTGTGCTCATGATGAAAGATTCTTTGAAAATCCCAATTCTTACTTGATTCCTATAGCATCTATAATTCAGATACGTGTAAGCCATTTAACACTTTGGAAAAAAGTACCCTTTAACATATCTGTATCATTGTTTTTTAATAACAGTGAATCATATGGCAAACGTATGAGTCAGTTAATACAGTCAGTCAATAATGTGAAAATGTACCTCTGGTTTCTTCGTTATCGTGATAAAGAACATGTGATTCTTTATTGGGTAAATAATGATTGAAACGTCTCCAAAGGCGGTTGGGATAATGCCCCTGCGGTAGTCCCTGGAGTGTTCAGACCAGACGATGTGGACCTCGTCATTCCCCAAGTGACGAAGCTGCAATGGAAAATTGGCTCTTTATTAATCAGAGTAATACAAGCAGTTTATGAGGGGTCGTGGCTTACAAATTGAATTATAACACTCAGATGCAAAAATATTTTACTACCAAAAATGGCTGCAACACCAATGTCCTCTATGAGGATTTGGAAGAGCACCAGGGCATGAAAACACAGCTCACCTATGAGACATATTGGTACTAAAATGATGCTCACATGCAAACATTATGGCTGGATGGGGAAAAGAGCTTTTCAAGGATTTTTAAAAATTAAATTTTACTCCTGCATCAAAGCCTCATGCTTTATATTGCTGAGCATGTCTATAACTAATTAACAACATGAGTCTTTTACTCCACATTATGATAGAGCTTTATAAGAATTTAATGGTTATTAAGAAAGAAATCTATAATAATAAAAGTGTAATATGCTAATTAGATCAGACGTCCTTACGGACGAAGCCAGGGCTGTGAGGGAAGCCCAGGTGTCTGCCGGCAGCTGGAGGGAAGCCAGCCCAGGTCCCAGGTGCCAGAGGGAAGCCAGTGCCGGCAGCTGGGGGAAGGAAGGCCTACTCTTGCACCAGTTTCATGTATCGGGCCTCTAATATGAATATAAGAGAACATAAGCCATTATAACACAATTGTTACCAAATACATAAAAACTAGACTTGTGATAAACCTTTAAGAAGTATGTATAGTGGGGAGGTGAGGCAGGGTTAAGAGATCAACCAAAGGACTTGTATGCATGCACATGAGCATAACCAATGGACATGGACACTGGGATGATGGAAGCTTGTCCTGAGGAGGGGGGGAGTGGGAGGGAGGGGGTCAATCAGGGAAAAAGGAGACATATGTAATACTTGAACAATAAAAAAATTAAGCCCCCTGCCCAAAGAAGTATATACTAATATAAATTATTTTTAAGAAACTAATAAATATTACTTAAATGTAATAAGAACACTAGTACCTAGAATTTAAAGAGTGCCTTACTGTATAGAAAGTGTGCTCACACACATTGTTTTGTTTATTTTTTATGTTATCTAGTGGGGAGGCAATGTGGCTCAGGAAGTGAAGGTACCACCTACTCAAGGTGCATGAATAGTGGGTGGCAGAGAGGGCCTGGAAACCAGGGTTGGGCTCCTAATTCAGCACATTTTCTACTTTTCATGGCTATCTAAGTCTATGCCAAAAGCAACTTGTGCTGTCATAGCTCAAATAGGTTAACCCACTTATTATTTTATATACAGAGAGGCCATACAATTTAAAAGCAAGTCAGAGACTCCTGACCTTCTGAGGGGCTTTCACATGCCTCCAACGAGGGGCCTTTGCGAGTTCTTCCAGAGCTAGGCTCTGTCAGATGCAAGGACACCCGAGATAAAACCCTGCACGATGACTTCACGTCCTGGGCTGGAGGAAGCAGCGTAGGAAATCATCTAAGTAAGCCTTCAAGTGTGGCAAAAGAAACCAGATCATAAAGGTTAAAATGTTGACCAAAACTGAAGTGCTAAAACCATAAAGGCTGATTGGTGAAGGCCCTCTGACCTACCAAAAATGTGAGGTTTCAGGCCTCTCACACTGCAGGTCACTGTCAACTACTGCAAAAAAGCATTTCTGCTTCCTATATTATTTAATAGATTAAGCCTAAAAGTGTCTAAATTCAGAGGCACTTTAATAGAGATGTTGTCTCAAAGTTAATGTTTTATTTTTATCTTAAAACTAGTGGCCTGGTGCACAAAATTCATGCACTGGGGTAAGCCTGGACTGTGCCCTGTAACAGTGTGGGAGCCTTGCGATCCATCGCCCCAAAGAGGTAGGCCCTGTCCACCCATCTGGGGCTCCTCGATGGATTGCCCCAAAGAAGTAGGCCGGAGCCAGAGGTCCCGCTTCCACACTGTGCAGAGCCACGGAAAGCCCCAGGCGTTGCAGCACAGAGGCCTCCACCAGGCCCCGCGCCCAGGCTGGGCCACGCAGAGGCCTATGGACCCCCGGTGCAGGTGTGCGGAGGCCTCCGCCGGGCCCTGCCCCCGTCTTCGATGTTGCAAGTCCCTGCCCACCCACATCTGCTGCGCATGCAGCTCATGCTGATCGGTTGTTATGCATGAGGGTGTCCCGACCATTTGCATAATACCCTTTTATTAGTGTAGATCAGTGATGGCAAACCTTTTGAACTCAGCATGTCAGCATTTTGAAAAACCCTAACTTAACTCTGGTACCATGCCACATATAGAAATTTTTTGATATTTGCAACCATAGTAAAACAAAGACTTGTATTTTTGATATTTATTTTATATATTTAAATGCCATTTAACAAAGAAAAATCAACCAAAAAAATGAGTTCATGTGTCATAGGTTCGCCATCACTGGTATAGATATATAAAAAAAGGATGCTTTGGAATACTATTTAGTGAAAACACGTTAAAACATCTATATATATATAAAAGCCAAGCGATCAGAATGATGGAATGACTGGAACAACTGGAACGACCTAATGACCAGTCGCTATGACGTGCACTATGGGAGCTAACCAGCCTGATCGGGGCCCCGACTGGCCTCTCTCAAACTTCCACAGCCCCTCCCCTTGGCCAGCCCCGCCCTGATCGGCCACCCCACCCCAATTGGGGGTGGGGCCTGCCAGCCAACCTCCCACAGCCCCTCCCCTCAGCAGGCCCAGTCCCCATATGTGTATGAATTCGTGCACCAGGCCTCTAATATTAGTATAAAAACCATTTTCTTTATAGACTATTTGACCACAAAGGGAAAATCCAAAGTGACCCTAACGTGGCCTCCTTTCCATTTATAAGGTTACAAAGGAAGTTTGTTTGTTACAATGCCTTCTTACACTTCACTCTCTCTTTTTTTAAAAAGAGGTGGAACCTGTACCTTTGTACCAATATCGAGGGGCACACGATTTCATCGTGTCTGAATATGGGCTCTGGGACTAATGCAACTGTGGGTGCAGACCACAAGTCACGATGATCCAGAACAACTGAATAGCATCTACAACTTTCTAAATGCAAAATCACTCACTACATTTTTTTCTTCTCCCCCTCCCCCCACCTATAAAAGCTAAAAGGGTAGCAAGCAACCTATTACATAAACAGTAGGTTCTCATAGTAACACTTAACATCTCTATTTCTCTATGTCCATCTTAGAGGCTAAAATTTATCTTTTTCCTTTTTCATAAAATATTCAAGGACTTCACAACACACTCCTGAAATGCAATCCCTTTGGAGTGAAAACATGGTAACCAGCATCGCCAGCAGAACAATAAAGGCATGTTTTCAGGGGAAAAATGAATAGTATCAAGTTGAAACTTTGGGAGGAATTTAGAGCAGAGGAAGGTAATTAATTGTGAGAGCTGTGCCCCTTGATATAATGCTGGCACAAACATCTTAACAGGAGCAACCCACCTACTAAACGCCTTTGAAATGTGGGCTGCCACCTAACGCCAGCACCTTCTGTGTGACCTCTCCTGTGGATCCAGAAGCATACGTTGCAAGACATTAGCTCGGAGGTAACACAGTGATTATTGAAATTTTGCAGTTCCTCTCCTTTTCCTAAATTAGGTTATTCAATTGAATAATCCAAGTAGGCCTCTCCTAATTCTGTGTGCTACTATATTCTCAGAACTATGCAAGGGAGAACAGCATCACACCAACAGACCCATCCTCCCAGTGTGGCGATTCTGTAACTAAGGAAGAGTCACTTTTGTGTGGTAATAACACAGCATTCATCATCTCCAAGCTGCTTTCAATGCCACGTGCCTCAGACCTCTGGGCACAGCATAGTTTAACTAACTCGCAAAACTGAGAGCAAAGGCCACAGGACCAATCGGCTGATAAATCTGGATCAAAGAGCAGAAACACACCCACTTCTGCCCACGACAAAAAATATCAGCAGGTAAAATGAATAAATTAACCTGGCCTATTGTCAGCATTGTCAATGCACAGACTCTGGAAACTTCAAAGTGTTGTTCAATTTAAAGGGGATTTCATCACAGAGATATTTTGTGAGTTTTGAAAAATTTTGATTAGAGGCCCTTAAATCACAGACTCATCAGCAGCAAGTTCTGTGCACACAAGTCGAGTTGATGGGACTCGTGTGTCATCTGGAGGACTGAGGAGTCTCGTCCTGGAGCTGTCGTTTATGCCAGCTACTGCTTCCACTGCACAGCAGGCTCCAGAAGGCACAGGCGCTTAACAGGCTCAAAGCAAATGCTCAATTCTTAAGTCCTAAGACATCAAGTGCACCTCCTGCCACTTCTCGTCCTGACAGAGTTTTAAAGTCCCTCCGCCTGGGCCATTCTGCCTGCTGCTGCCAGGCAGCATGCGCTGGTGACACTGGTCATGGTGCACACCTAACAGGCTGACCTCCTTTCTCGGCTAATTGCATTACAGCGCCAGCTGGCTCCAGAAGGAGTCGTCTGTTTGATTGAAGAATTCCTGCTCCTCAGCGGGCCCGACTGCTACTTTTACTAAGTAACAGTCAGGCCTGACATCCCCATTGTTCAGCTGACAGTGTGCCCATCCTAAAATCTAAGTTTTATTTGTAAATTAACCAAGAAACTTCCTGCCAGAACAGTGCTGCCTGGAGACTGATAATGTGGGCCTTTCATCCCTTTTCACTCCGACTGTATCACTGCCAATTTGTTTTTTATGCGGCTGGCCAGCCTGAGGCTATAAAAGCCTTGTAAGACATAAGTGCAATTATAGTCCTGGAGTCAAATGAATTGGATAAATCCAATAGCACAGCTCTGTCCCCACTCTGCAAACCCCCACAGCAGTTAGATTAGCTGTGAAAAATCTAATCTAGCTGGAGCTAACAAATTTCAGCAGTGAAGGATCAAGAGTTCAGGATGGGGTTGCAACCGGATTGCAGAATTGACAAAGTGCCCCCATGATAGGGGCAGAAGAGACCATGCATCACTTTAGAATTTTGCAGCTCATTTTTAAGCTGTTAGGGACAATTTAGTCAGAATAAGATAAGAAACGGTGGGCTGCTGTTCCTGTGACTGATTTTTAGTCTAGCTGTGAGACATCCTGATGAAGAGAGTGTGTCACTAATGATGCTGAATCTTGGAGCTGCAAAAGGTATCAGCTGAATTTTTATTATTACAGTAGGGAATCCTTCAGGCAGGCCAAGCTTTGGAACATTATTTATCGCATGGCATATCATCAAGAAAACACCATGTCTTTTCTCAAAAAACACAATCCTACTTTACCTAGAAAACAATTTTTAAAATTTTTCTATATATGCCTATCTTTTAATAAAACAGTTCTCAGTCATGAATCATAGAATATGGTGACACATTTTCAGAATAGCAGCAATTTACAAGGAACTTAGAAGGGAACGAATGTGTGAACCCCACCTGGGTCTTGGTCACCTGAAATCGACCAAGGGCAGGGTCCCCTTCACTGAGAACACCACAGCCGGGGCAGCCATCGAAACCTAAGCCGTGGAGGCAGCTCCTCTGTGTCTGTGGGGAGCCAGCCCACGGCCAATGGGAGGCCATGCTAGCACATGGCCTGGGAGTGAAAGCCCATCAGGCTTTGTGCATCCTCAACACTCGGTCACAGTGAGAGTTGTCTGTGATTGTGCCGAGACCAGAGTGCTGAGGTCTCGTGGGAAGACTCACTGCTGCCACCATGATCGTGGTCCAGAGTCAGCGGCTACAGCAGTCAAAAAGCAGAACCGCAGAGGAAGGAAAGCAAGCGGGTAGAGGGAGGCCCATCGGCCAATATCAATCATCTGCCTAATAAACCAGGGGAATAAAAGAATCAATTATGCTGATGGGCAATGATGAGGGCTCCTGTCAGAGATCTTACCAGCACTGTGCTAAGCAATTTTACAGGCCTTATCCATTTACTTCACAACAATCGTGTGGCATAAGCTATATTTTAAATGTCATTTAATAGATGAAGAAGCTGCAGCACAGGCTAGTAAAGTAACTGGATATAAACCTGAGCCCAGGTCTGCCTATCTCCAGACGTGGCTATCACAAACACACCAGAACCCAAGGGCCAGCCTTAGTCAGCATCTGAATGACCCGTTTTCCAACCCACCAGGTGCTGTCCTCAGTTCCTTGTAGGAAGAGTGTGTGAGGCAGGAATTCCAGGGGCCGCCACTCACTAGCAGGCCAGTGGACGTTCTTCCCATCGGGAAACTCACAGGAGTGAGTCAGATTTCAGGCTTCCTCCCCATTCAGGTGCTCCTCACTTCTAACAGAAGCCCCCGAGGTGAACATCCAGCCGACTGGAAAGCACAAGGCCTGTCCCCCTGGGGGAGCTGCCTTGGGGGTGGGAAGGTTTCCTTTGAATCTAGAGAAAACCGCCCACAGGGCCAACGTGAAGGGGAACCAAGGAGAGCGCTGAAGGTGGGACACCTGGCCAGCTGTGCTGCACTTCCCATCTTCACCGCCACTGCCACCCTGCCGCACAGCTAGCCCGAGAGGCGCTGGCTTTCTCGGGGCTCCACTGGTTCAGGGTCATTACACCTTACGACCTTTGCCAACAGGAGAGGTCAACACTGTCACTTTCTGTCAGTTATCAGGCATGTGAGGAAATATCCAAAAGTAATAACATTAAAGATTCTTCCTAAATCGTAATCGCAGGATTTAAGACTCAATGATTGATTGCTTTTCACCTATTTCTTGATCTAGTTTGTGCCACGCCGAATATTTCAGATTAACTACAGCTGTAGTTAGAGAAGAGGGACACCGAGGCTGCATCCAGAGTTAGCTGGTCTCAGTGCATGCTATCACGGCCTTTGTTCAGTACCAGGAGAGCCCACCTGCACCCCAGGTCCTTACCTTTTTGGTGAGTGAATCATCTGAGTCTGATGGCATCCGAGTTGAAACGTGGAAAATCACTTCCACAGTCGAGGTAGCATAGTAAGGGGCGGTCTGTCCTGTGCTGCCGTTGCGCTGAAGTCCACCCATGAACCCACAGTGGGTTGAGAGATCCACCTGACCCAGGTCACAGAGGAAAAAGAAACAGGTTTTAAACATTAGCTCTTCTTATTCACTAAGAAGGAAATTGCATTTAAAAAAAAATTAATTATGTTCATTTCTATAGTTTTCTAACGAAAACAAATGTAATACAAAGTCAGACAAAATTAAAATACTAAAGAAACATTAACAATAAGAGTGTTCCATAATCTTACCAACTTTAAGAAAATAATTATCAAAAGTTTGGTGCATATTTATCTAGCTTTGTTTCTCTGACTGTGTGTGTGTATGCGTGTGTGTGGGTGTGTGTGTACCGCTAGTGGTACACACACACACACACACACACACACAGTTTCCCTATTGATGGTTTTATGGAGTTTTCTGAAGGTCAAACCAGAGGAGCAAAGCAGTGTTTCTCTAGGATACTGAGTCAACGGGTACAGATGGTTCAAAATTTAACAGTCATTGCTAAACTGCCTTTTAAAGTGTTGTTTCAGATTCTAAGATGGCTGGAGAGTAGGTGGAAGCTACATTCTCCTGCTCCCAGCACGCTAGCCGAACTGAAATATTATAACCAAGGATTTACAGAAGATGCCACATAGAGTCTGGTAAGAAGGGCAGAGATGTGGAAAGGATGGCCCTCTGCACCTTGTGTGGTGGCTGAGAAGCCGGAGTGATATCCTGACTGCAAAACTCCCTCCTGCCAGGAACAAGGGGTCTCAACCCCATGCAGGGAATCCCTAAGCCAGAGCAACAGAGATAGGAAGAGAAGGCTGCATAAACAGTAAATAGCATCTGGAGGTGAAAACCAGTGGGGATTCAGTCCACCTGGGAGAGAAGCGAGTTTGCTACAGACCCAGAGGCCACTTTCCCAGGGTGAAGCGCTCCTATTGTTACTGCCCCATCCTCCAGGTACTGGCAACACTATTCCGCTGTGCTCGGGTACTACAGTGGGGTCTGCTGGCTGCACCCCGTGGGGACCTATGGGGGGTCTTTTTCTGGAGAAGCTCTTGGTGGAGACTCAGACAGTGACTGAACTGTGTAGCTTTGGAAGAGACCACTTTCCCACCACATCACACAGTCAGTGGGGCTCGGCACCCACCTGTTGAATCACTGGGCCTGCCTGGCCACTCTGGGGCCCCGCCCTGCTGAGTTCAGTCCCGCAAGGGGGATCAGAGTACCTAGCAAAGCTGGGATTTTCAGAGTGTCTCCCAAGGAAGATGTTGCCTGGAATCAGCCTGCATTATCCTGGGAAGAGGAAGAAGAAGTGCCCGCCCCCTCCTACCGGGTTGCAGGCAATGCCTCCATGGGAGACTGTTTGGATTGGCTCTGCTAATTGGCTTTGCCCAGCTAAGCTCAGTTCTGCAATGGGAAGGGTGTGCTGCTCTAACATTTGAAGTGTGTTGCCCCAGAAGCTATTGTCTGGGACCAGGATGAAATGCTTGGCCCCTTCCTGCAGGCTCAGAGGCACCATGCCCAATAGGGTACTTATGATCTGTTCTACCAAGCCCCAGAGGCTCTGCCCTGTTAAATTTGGTCCTGCAGAGGGGATGGCTGCCTGCACCCAACCTGAGTTGCACTGGGGTGATCCTCCTGGGTGAGATAGAGTTGGAGATGGGCTGAGACTGAGTAGTTTGGCTCTGCAGTAGGAGCCACTTTGCTGTCACTGGGTGTCTGACTGTGCGGTCCCCAAGTAGGAGACCCACTAGCCCTGTCTCCCAACATAAATGTATGCACAGATGTATATAAATGTACATATGTCTGTCTGTTAGAGTATCATTTAGAAAAGCACAAAGAAAATTTTCATTGTTAATCATCCTGGGATCTATCCTAGAGAAATAGGTTGGATAGCTAAACCATCATGGTTACTATATTCTATTTTCATTCCAACATTTGACTTCATCCAACTCTTTGTCTGTTCACCCATCAAGTTACTGATTTCTTTTCCATTCTCTATGGTCTTCTCTTACCACAAACTGTCTATGGTTAGGTGATCTGAGCTGATCTGACTATGCAGCTCTGATAAAGAACAAATGAAATAATATTAAGAGGAAAGTTAAGGGAAACAAAAGTTCATGTATAAAGTACTGAAAACCAACTAATAGAAGATGTCAAATTCATTACATTCTTGTAAAACCATACACCAGTGATGGCGAACCTTTTGAGCTCGACATGTCAGCATTTTGATAAACCCTAACTTAACTCTGGTGCCGTGTCACATATAGAAATTTTTTGATATTTGCAACCATTGTAAAACAAAGACACATATTTTTGAAATTTATTTTATATATTTAAATGCCATTTAACAAAGAAAAATCAACCAAAAAAAATGAGTTTGCGTGTTACCTCTGACATGCGTGTCATAGGTTCACCATCACTGACATATACAATCAATGTCTAGTTTATATACATCTTTAAATAATGCTGAATGAAATACCTACTGAATGAAATTAATTACCTCCCATCCAAGTCCAGCAACAAAGTCTTCATATGCTTGGCTTCCTTTTTCATTGGAGAGGATTGAACACTTGTCTTCTTGACCTTCAGCAATGTAAAACACTGCAATTTTATGCGTTTCACGGCTATAAAAATTTAAAGAAGTGAGAATTTTTAGATATCAAATCTTATTTTACAACTACCACCAGCATAACTCCTACTGAGAAGTTACTAGGGGCCAGTCACTATTCTAAGAAGGTTCCACACATGATCTCATTTACTCTTTGCAACAACCCTACTGAGACAAGTATTATCATCGTCACCTCCCTCGTAGAGGTTGGTTGGAGGAAGCACAGAAAGTTTTAAAAAAGCACACATACCAAGCAAGAGACGGGGAATTGAAGCAGGGCAGTCTGATTCTTGAGATCACTCTCTCAAGACAGATGATATACTTAACAGCATGTTACAACACACTACTTGACAAGTTCTCTCCACTTAAATATATATATCTTTGAAAGCATTTTAAACAGATATCAATTGTGAATAGATCCATGTTACCACCCATATTTCATTTTCTGCACTTCCAGTTGAGGATATTGGGTAGTTCCATAATTGGAACTGTAGAACATGCCTCACAAGACTTTATGAGAAACAAACTTTTTCTAAGCAGAGCAAACTTAGATATTTTCTTTGTGAGGGTATATACCCACTCTGTGCTCTGATTAACCTGAGGGCGCTTAGTAGGGTTTATAACTATCTAGCAAAACCTCTTTGGCCATATCTTCCATGATGGATTTTGGGCACATTGCTATTAAATCCTTAAACATAATATGCACATTGAGGAAAGGATCCCCTCCTTTTTACCTTTTGTACATTTAGTACAGTCCTTAGCACATACTAGATGTCCAGTTAAATTTCTGGTGAACTGACCAGAGATATGATGGTATATTTAAATGTATTAGTGACCAATTTCTATAAATTACAAACTGGAATAAGAGTGTCATTTGTGAAAAGCATCAAAATAACTGGACCTATTCCAAACAATGTAGAGATAGTTTAGAGATGAAGACTTTTTTCATTGAAACAGAACTTTAATCAAGTATTGTTCACTCTACTCTCTCATCATCCAAGAGTTCCACTCTAGTTTCTATTTTCTTAAAACTTGGATTACCACTGCCAGGATAGTTCCATTCCTCTCCTTATTTCTGCATTATATTCTAAACAATCTCATATAAAAAATTATCAAATGTTTAAACAATATGAAAATGTTTCTATTGTCTAACTGTTTAATATCTCAACATTGTAATCTGGTGAGACATCTGTACTGGTGAAATTTGGGGATCATATTTTAACATATTTGCAAGTATTTCCTTCTGCAGTTGTTGTTTTGTGTGTGTGTGTTTTTTTTACTAATGAGCAGAATGAATTGGAACTCAACCAAAAAGTCATATAAATAAATGGATGAGGAAATTACTCTTCTATTTATCCAGATACCTTATTCATTTCCCCCATAGTTTACATGTAATAAGCATACAATAAAAATGTCAAAATTTTAAAAAATGACAAAAACTTGTTATTTCAATATATAAGCAAAAAACCTGTTACCATTTTTTGTATACAAAAATGACAGTTACTATATTCTAGTTTACAACTTTTTTTTCACTTAAAATATTTATGAGTACTTTATTGTATAAAATACACAAAACATACAATTCTCCATGTAACCATTTTTTAGTGTAAACACTTTAATATCATGCTTTTCTATAACTACGTTATTTAATGGTTGTATAACATCTCATTACAGTAATATACCACACCCCCAATCCTCATTATAGGACATTTAGGTTGCTTCCAATTTTAGACATGTTCACATTGTCTTTGATATGTCCTTAAAATAAAGTCATAGAAATGGAATCTTGATCACTGCCTTTTTGTAAGGCTTCTGATGCTTACTGTCCTGCCGCCACCGGAGAAGGTGGATGCTCTGAATGTCCTGACTGGGGTCGCATGAGCGCACACTTGGGGGTGCTTCTCTTGATGAGAACAGGTGTTATGAGGAGAGGTGAGTATTTTGGGGATGGATCCCTGGGGCTCAACGCTTGTGCTCAAGGAGAGACCTTGTGCTCCAAGACTGTCCGAAAGCTTGTCCTCATGCAGCATGGAGCTCTGAAAGGTGACGCTATTTACTCCCTGAGCAGCAGGCAGGGTGAGCAGGCAGCCTAGAACCTGGCTGGCTTATTCTTAGAGCTATAACAATTTGGGGGCTCAGATGATAACAGAGATCATAACCATGACCTAAAACACTGTCTCTTTCGGCACAGAAGAAACCAGTATAGTTACTCAATTTCTTCTGGCAGCTTTCTCTTTTTTAAAAAAAGTAGTCAGCATTCAATTTTTTTCTATTCTATAGACTTTATATACAGGAAAGCAATCTCAGGTTTATCAAGCCTAAGCTTTTTACTTTGCAGCTGCTCAGAGATTCTTGAGTCCTCATTAATTCAATGTGGGAGCACAGGGAACTAAGCCCCAGTGACTGCTTGACTGGTGTAGGTGTGAGGAAAGGTGATCTTTAGTTGTAAACATTAATCAAATTTCACATCCTCTAAGATGTTAGCACCACAGAGAGCCTGCAAGGATGCAGAAGCTGCTATCTGGCCTTATTAGAGCCAGGCTTTTGAAATTATAATTAGCAACATCAACAACATTTCATATCCAGAAGCTGCATGACCCATGCATGAAGGAGCAGGTAATTCAGCAACACACATGCATAAAACAACCATTTCCTCTTCCTCATTAGAATGCATTTTTTCTTTCTTATTAAGAATAGGCCAGAATAGCTCAGTTTCCCAGTGCTGTCACATTAAAAAGCCAAGCAAAGGAAACAATTTTAACTTTCACCTTACCACGGAGTGGCAAGAGGCATTGATATTTAAGCGGGGAACACACTGTATGTAAATAGTCATCACACTATTTACATCTTTGCTAACTTCCGAGTATATAGGTGATAGTTGCAAGATAGCCTCTATTTTCCCCAAGAGTATGCTAAGCAAGAACTATGCTTTGAGAGCAGGGAGGAGAAACTGATATATAAAATAAATGCAGCCCTAACTGGTTTGGCTCAGTGGATAGAACGTCAGCCTGCAGACTCGGGTCCCAGGTTTGATTCTGGTCAAGGGCATGTACCTTGCTTGCGGGCACGTCCCCAGTAGGGAGTGTGCAGGAGGCAGCTGATTGATGTTTCTAACTCTCTATCCCTCTCCCTTTCGCTCTGTAAAAAAATCAATAAAATATATTTAAAAAAAAAAAAACGATCATTCTCCCTTCTTAAAAAAAAATTAAAATAAATAAATGCAAACATCCAAATTGAACGTTGAGGAGCATGAAGTGTTATCTACATACTGACTGATACACAGGACAGTCTAGATTTCTCATAGCTAAAGAGTCCCTGACTTATTTCCACTAAAGAAAAAAAAAAGTTGATACCTTTTTAGATGTCAAGAAGGCACCAGGAGTTGTGGTTTTTAGCAAAGGTTAATCAAGGGGCAGAGGATTTGCCAATCAGCTCTCCAAAGCCACATTTACTGCAACAGCACTCCAGGGAGCTAATTCAATTGTACCTCATGCCACTGAAGTGCATTAACACACAATTACAAGATACCAATATATTCACTTAATACTAAGAAGCACCAAGTAATTCAGCATATGCTTGAAAAGCTGAGTTTGGAACCCAAGTGACTGCTTGTCTAATACTGGAGGACGAGAGGGAGAGGGGAGCAAATCCCTAAGTCCTCCAGAAGAAATCCCTCACAGAGTCTTCAAGAGAATTCAGTCTCTATTCCTCTAGAGCAGTGGTCGCCAGCCACTGGTCCGTGAGGTCCGAAAGGTTGGCGACTGCAGCTCTAGAGAAAAGAAGCACAACAACAATTGGGAAACTGAATATGATGAAGGGCAACGTGAGGAATAATGGCTTCAGGTTTTTCATCTCTAATGATAAATCTAATGATATTCTTAAGGGAAACAGAAGAAGAATAAAAGCTATTTTTTAAAGTGTTTTTAAAAAACTAAGATTAAGAAAGCAGTTTGTTCAAGGAGCACGTGTTATGTACCAACTACCACACTTACTTTACTGGATGTTTTTGGAAGCATACATTTCCCCAGATCAAAAACTGATTGTGAGCTCATGTTTAGAGTTGCTTCTAAGATTGTTTGAAAAAAATGGGAGATCTGAGATTTGACCAGCTTTGGAAAATGAGGCTTACGATTAGTAAGTTACTAATTACAACAAACTGGTTTTAACCTTGACAAAATCGTGGAGCAGACATTTCATGGGGTTCAATCAACACAGACTGTGTGAGCACGGGCAGGGTAATCTTTAACCGAAGTAAGGCTCTGTTCCTCATCAGAAAAAGAGATTAAATGAAAAGGAATGTCCACTGGCTACCTCATGAAAGGTACCCAATCAAAGGCACAGATTAGGTGGGAGCACCGAACTCTTTTTAGTGTAGCAAACATGTGAGCTTACTCTAAGGGTAAAAATAGCGAAAGGATGACGTGTGCAAATGTCAGCAATTCTGCCTTACAGAACTACCTTGGGTGTCTCCGCAGGTGTATCTGTCATCTAAGCACACACAGACAGAAAGGAAGGAAGTGGTGTGATATACTGTCACATACCACTGACGGGAGTCCAGATTTTTTAGTTCTCTCAATAATTTTGAATTTTTCTTCAATAGATGAAAATTCTTCCTATAGAGAAAAAGGAATGGAAGAAAAGTCATGTAATCACAGGCCAATTTTGCTCTTTCCAGTCAATCAACTGGCAAACTTATCCATCATCCATCCATTCACTCATCTACCCATCTGCTGCATTAACAAAAGATTTGTGATCAAAACCACAGAATGAACTCAATTCTCCATAAGGAATTCAAAGACATCAAAATTCCACTGCATCCCGTTGCTATCCAGGAAACTGGATGGCTCTGTGGTAAATGAGTATGTGACTTGTGTGTGTGTGTGTGTGTGTGTGTGTGTGTGTGTGTGTGTCTGTTTTCACTGTTGGCTCTACTATGAATCTCTTTCCCCCACTGTTGTCCTTAAAAACCCCATCCCATTATCAGGGGGCTACCCTCTTCCACACAGTCTTCTCCACTGAACCACACTCCCCACTGGATTTAACTGTGTCTCTTGAACTCCTATGCCAAGCTATCTTTCATCAGAAAACATTTGATAGCTTTTAAAATGTACACCAGATGCCTGGAATCAACCTGTGCAATCAATACAGGGCAGTTTCTAGCTAGCTTTAATTTAGCAGCAGAAAAGTTGTAAAGGCCGAAATTGAGAAAAATTTCCATTTCTGTTCTTGCTTCCCTAAGTCCAAACTGATAAAAAAAAGAATTCACACAAAAATAACAAAATAGGTCTAGCGTGGATTGTTACCTTCTGTCCCAAGAATTCATTCCCAAGTCATCAAGCAGCAGCCTGCAGAAATAAAAGGGTCCTCGGGGCTCCACGGGTGAGGGCTGCTCCTGGCTGCTGACTCTCATGGCCGAATCGGAGTTACTCCTCCGAACATGCTCGGCTTCTTGTGCGTTCTGGCGCAAAATGACCTCAATGATTTCCTTCTCTTGGTCACGATTCATTCCACATGGGGGTAGGGAAGGCTCATTTAGATTTAACTGTGATGGTAAAAGGCATTCAGGACTTGTGTGGCCAATGTTTTCAAGTAATTTGTCGAGGGCATCCTCTCCCTCCTCAGTTTGAGAACAATCTCTCGGAGGTCCAAATGTTTGATGATGCCAGCCCGAAATCAGAAATGAAGGATTTCTGCTGTTGAGTGCTAAGCAGCCTTCCAAAGGTCCATACAACACCTTCCCATCCCAAGAGTACTTCCCTGAGATGTCCCTTACAATGACTCTCACGTCCGAGAGAGCCCCCGCTGGTGAGCCGCCTGCCAGGCCTTCTGTGGGAGTCTGGAGGTAGGAGATGAGGGTGCTGTCATTAAATACAAACAGCTGCAAGTTCGGGCTCCTGAACACCTCGGAGGAGAGCTCAGAGGCTTCCGCGTGTGTGTTGTCGTGGTTCTCACTGACCAGGCTGTGCAGCACGGCCGGGCCCCCACGGAGGGGGAAGTGTCCCAGGTGGTTCACCAGGTGGGCCATCACCCTACGGGCAGTAAGAGGGATCAGCTCCAAACTTCGTCTCTTCTTCTCTGTGAACAAAAGTAAGGAAACATAAAGATACAGTGGAAAATGAAGATGAACACTGAGCACCACCAGATGTCAATCTGTACTTAGACTATTTGCTTTTTTTTTAGTCTGGGAATCTTCTGAACCTACTTTGTTTTTTGACACATTCTATATGAATTTAAAGGCACAGTTTAAATAGATTGCTAAAAGAATCAATTTACATGAAGATTTCATTCTGAAAGGGGCATTTAAAAGTTTGCAGAGACAACAATAAACAAGAGAAAGGTCCTTGTCCTTAAAAAGGTGACAGTTCGGGAGCTCTGGGAAGCCAAAATCTGCAGTTGGAGAGGATGGCAGAGCTGAACAGCTGGAGGCTGGGAGCAGGTGGAAGCTGGACCAGAGAGGTTAACTCGCTCCCCTCATTAGGATAAAGGCAGACACTGGTAAGAAAATAAATCCAGCCTATGACTGCTTAAATACGGAATTCAGTTGTGAGTATATGAAACACAAAATTTATACTTGTATTATTATTTATTATTGTATTATTTTCCATACCAACAACTGTTAACCTGCTTATGCCCCACCCTGTATATTTTGCAATTGGCTTTAAGATCATTGTGACAATTTATGTTTTGTTGTTAGGGCATTTTAAATATTTAACAGAATCTGATGTATTAGTTATTTATGGAAATGCTTAGAAGGCTTTAACTAAATTTGTAGTTGATGATTAAATGCCCAAGAGCAACTGATTTACAAAATTTTCAAGACTTCAAATGTACAGAAAAACTGAAAACGGCACCTAAAAGTGGGCCTTGTAAAAAGTTTGAGGCAGAATGGAGAAGCAAACAAACTAAATCCCCGAGAATGCATTGAGACAATCACTTAAGCTTGAGAACAGTTAGAGAGTGTTATCTACCACATTCACAAAAAATTGTGCATTAATCTAAGAACAAAAAAATGATACCTTTTAATGTGAACAAAAATAAATCACTAGATAGTAAAATGAACTAAGATTTAAAATTTGGGTTTAAAGGTTTAGGAAATACTTGTTTTCTAAATTCACAATATAAAAATTAAATATTAATAAAAAATTAATTAAATATCAATAAAATAAAGTCAATTGATTAAATTAACAAAACTACTTTATTAACTTAATCTAAATCCACAAGAAAATTAACTTTTTCATACTAAACATCCTCTCTCTCAGACACTGAAAATCCAATTAACTTATTTATAAAACACCCATTTTATGATGTATAAATCCTACAAAGAAACTATCAGGTCCTAAAATCTAAGAAATTCTACGTGATGACTGAGGAAAACAAAACTGTCCAGATTTTTCTTGGATTTCTTCTTGATTCTCTTTGCTTTTCAATGAACAAGATATCATCTGTGTTTAATAAATGATCAAGTCAAAGAATGCTGTACACTGAAAGAAAAATGGTACCAAAACTTAAAGGTGCATTTTTAGGTTTATCCTTTTCCACTAACTTGCTAATCCTCTGCTATTTTCAAGTGATGAATCATAATAAGTGGTGAACCAATTTTTATGACAGTTATAGGGGTGAATATAAATTAATAACTTTAGGAAAAGTAGATTACTTTTTTTTATGAGACATGGACTACAAAGGTAAGAAACAAAGGAAACAGATAAAGGGTCACTTTCTTAAAAAAATATGGTTTGCATTTACAATTGTGTGGAAAAGCAAACAGTGAACTCCAGAAAAAGACCATTACATAATTAAGTAAAGGGAGGGTAACAAGAAGTCAAGATGAACAGGTGCCACACACCATCCACCAGCAACACAACTCAAAATGAGTCTTCAGTGTATTCTTGCAAAATATCAGAATAACTAATATGAGGTTTCTGGAACTTGGTCATTAAACCTTAAATTCAAATCCCACCTCCATTAACTGTAAGAAATAATACAAAGGGATTCCAAATATCCTTCACCCCAATAGTAGCATCTTACATAGCTGTAGTACCATATTACAACCAGGAAAATGACATTGAAACTATTTAATACTCAGAGTTCACTAGATTTACATACTCATTTGTGTGTGTGTGTGTGTGTGTGTGTGTGTGTGTGTGTTGAGGGGAGGGGGGATTGTGGGTCTATGCAATGTACGTATAGATGACACAGCCACATTTTGACTCACATTCCAGAGATGAGCTCTTGTCGTTCTGGAGAGAAGGTTGGTTAAGGAGGACATACTAAGCCCTGATGATACCCACATTCTAAAATGGCCCCTATGCTGGGAACTGAGCTATCCTCAAACTGTGGCACGCAAATTCCCATCTCTCTCTCCAGGATGCTCTCTTAGTCTGGATCACTTTACAATCTTCTTTCAGAGTCTGTCCGTCCCTCCAAGTCTGGCTTTGGTCCTTCTCCATGGGAAACCGCTATGGTGCTACCAGCCCACAAATGAGTCCTTGTGTATTAATCCTGTCTCTCCCATTAGATGTAAAGCTCCTTGGGGATAGAAAATGAACTGTTCTTGTGGGTCCCATGGGTCTGAGACATATGGTTCTTCAATAACACAACATTCAACTAAGGTGAGAATAGGAAGGGGAAGAGAAGAAACAGAGAAAAAGAGGAGAAACAAGAAAGGCAGAATTTTCAGAGAACTCTAGAAACCAGGAATTCAACAACTAGAATTAAAAACAATATAGCAAGCATGGATAAAAGGCTATAATCTTTCCTTTTCCTGCCCACAAAAATTAATATTCTGAAAAAAATCTCACCCTCTTCAACAGTCAGCAGGTTGCCCAGTTCTGCTGATGAGTGATATTGGACTGGCTCAGAATTCATCACGTTTGCCAGTGGCAGGAAGGGGTCATAATCTGAGGATGACAGGTCAGCCAGGGTCAGTGTGTAGTGACTCTGTTGGGTGTATGTGCTTGAGCCACAAACACAGCAGTGCAGAACCTGTGAAAAACAGAAGGGAATGTGTGCCACGGATAACTCTCTGTCCCTTAGGACAGCGGTCGCCAACCTTTCAGACCTCATGGACCACCAGTGGTCCACAGACCAACAGTTGGCGACCACTGCTCCAAAGGTTTCCTTAAACCAGCGGTCACCTACCTTTCGGACCTCATGGACCACCAGGACCACTGGTTGGTGACCGCTGCCTTAGGAGGTAGGACACTTGCTTCGTAATACTTGAAAACATCAAGTCCTTTTCATTCTAAAACATAGTCTTGCTATTAGCAAGTTTATTTGTTCCTTTCACATCAATGACAATAAATACATTCTCAAGTTAAAAAAAAAAAAGCAAAAGTAAAAAAGTGCCTATTTTGCCATGCTGTATGGTTGTACACACCTGAGTCCTGCTCCAGTCCACCCAAAGCCACATAATTAGTAGAAGGAAGTAAATTGGGAGACGAAGCCTAGCTATTGCATAAGCCACAAGATAAACAACCACCACGTATAGTGGATGGCAGAATACAAACGACCAGCAGAGACTGTTGGCATTTCATAAGCATTCATGAACTTGAATTAGTATAATTCACGACCCCAAGAATTGGAAGGGCAAATTTAATACAATTTTTAAATTTGTGATTAATGAAGTAAGTTTAATACAAGTTTTTAAAGTATTCTTATTCTGACAAGACCAGTTTCCTAAAAGCTTACTGGCTGATTACCAATTGCTGTTGACTGAAGCTCTATAAGCCATGCAAACATAAATCATCTTGTGTATGCCCAAATGTATGAGCTAATAACTATACTAAATTTTACTTTTTGATTATAAATTCAAAATTATAAATTCAAAAACCTAATTTTTATGAAAACCAAGGTAATACTCTAAAAAGTAAGGAGACATCTTTGGGCTAAATATTTTTATATGCAGTCAATTCACTTTTATTTATTTATTTAAAAATATTTTTATTGAACTCAGTGGGATTATACTGGTTAATAAAATTATATAGGTTTCAAGTGAACAACTCTAGAATACATCATCTGTATATTGTACTGTGTGTTCAACACCCAAAGTGTAGTCTCCTTCTGTCAATTCACTTTTAGATGACGACCTTGGATTTGACCACATGGCAGGAGGCCTTGTTGTCGGGCTGGACATCTCCCCGTTTAGTTCCTTCTACTCACGTTGCCTCTTGGGAACTGGAGGAGGACTTGGGGGTATGTAGTCTTTGTGCGCAGCTAAGAAGTACTGAGAACCTGTAGTCAGCTGAGGACACCCACCTAAGTATGTCATCTTCCTAGCAGAAAAGTAGTACAGAAAAATTATGGTAGCTTTCTTATTAATATAAAAATTGAGCTTCTGTCATTGAGAGAATTAATTTCTATTGGTCAAATGCTATAAAAATAAGAAACGCACATTAAAACTACGATGCAATACCACACTGCATACCTACCAGACAGCAAAGTGTTAGTAGCTGCAACTCTCAGACACTGTTGGTGACAATGTAAATTAACATAGCCACTCTGGAAAATTACTTAGTTTTTACCATTAAAGCAAAACATATGTATTCCAGCAACTCCACTCCCAGGTGTACACCCAGCAGAAATGCATACATATGTGTACAAAAAAAACATAATAGAATAGAATGTTCACAGAACTTTCGTTTATAGTCCCAAATTCTAAACTACCAAAATTCCCATCAACAGTTGAATAAAAAATAAATCGTGGTTTACTCTGCTAAATAGCAATGAGAGTGAAAAACCTACAACTATTCACAATAATATAATGAATACCTTGGAAGCAATGCTGTGTGGAGACATCAGACACAAAACGACATACTGTATGCTTCCATCTATTCAAAGTTAAAAATTGGCAAAATGAATCTGTACTGTGACAGTATAGTGGTTATCCCTGTGTGTTGGGGGGTGGCTAGTAACGAGGAGGAGGTACAGTGGGGGCTTCTGGGAGGCTAGGAATGTTCTGTTTCTAGAGTTGGGATCAGGTTTCACAGGTGTGCTTACTTTGTGAAAATTCATCAAGCTCTTTCTTATGATTGATGCAATTTTCTAGATGCATTTATACTTCAATAGGAAGTTTCCTTTAAAAATACAATGAAGAGTTATTCAATAAATTTGTGAATCATGTTAACTATGAGGTGACTTTTATATTGGTAAAGCAATTTTAAGAGACATCTTTAAAAAAGAGAGATAAATTTAAATGATTGTGGCTGCTTTAGTGGGTCAAGCCAGCCTCAGATAGGTTTATAAAGCTAACATAGCAACCAAAATCTTCAACTAGTGAAGAATCTTTTAAAAATACACAGTACTTTTTAGTAGAATTTCAACCATGATTAAGTGATATTTTTTTTAATTTAACAAATTTTAAAATAAAAGTAATCAGTTAATGACAAGGAATCTTTAAAAAAAACTATTATTAAAGGTCCATTGCCAAAATAAACAACAGAATTGTCCTACATAATAGTAATTATTGAATGGACACCAAAATGCTAAATAAATAAATAAATAAGGCCATCGCAGGACAGACTAAAGTCTGTGTAGAAGGACAGTCTAAAGGGTCCAGAGCAAATACCACACCTAGTCATGAGTATGGGGTGAAATAGTACAATATTTTAAGTACTATAAAAATGATGACAGTAATTATTTCGATGTGATACATTTCATTAATTTATTTCTTAAGATCTTTTAAGACATTACTGGGGCCACTATACTTTTTCTTCCTTTGAAAAATAGATCTTCTCAAACTAAGGTTATGGATATTCCTACTATATAAACAGTTCTTTTTTAAGTTAAGTAGATTTGGACCATGTTCTGTGAAAATTGGGGGATTTGATCAAACAGCAGTTGTTTAAAGATGACAGTCATGTGAAAATGCATGCATCTTTCACATGGTAATCATTGCTTCTCTACAATTATATCTGTCCTGTTTTCCCTCCTTAAATTATTTGTTTCTTTTAGGCCTCCCTCCTCCCCCCCCCCCCCCCCCCCCCCGCCTACACCCCCCTGCCCTGCTCAATAAATCCTTTTCAAAAGGGCATCGATAAACAGGCAAATGCATAAAACCTATTTTGGTGATTCTCTGATGTTTAAGCTCATACTCCATACCCTCCAGGCCCAACTGAGACTCACCCTGTAGATGTAATCCAGCAAAGGGGCCCTGCGTGAGTGCTGCTCCTCCAGGGCCGCCGTGGACACCGGGCGGAGCAGAGCGCTCACCGGCAATGCCATGCACCAGTCCAAGAGGCAGAGGAGCAAGGACACAATGAACTGGAAGAGAAAACAGGCCCAGTACCTTACACTGCAGTCTTTTAAACTTCACTAAAGGCAATAACAAACAACAGAATTGTCCCTGCTTAATAGTAATTATTCAATGGACACACAAAAAAGGAATAAATGAATGAGTAAGGTTTTCACGAGGGTTAACAGAGAAAGATATTCTAGAGGATATCCCTGCATGTAATACTATTTGGCATTCTGTTTTACATTTTTAAAAAACAGGCTCTAAGGGAAACTTAGCCAGTGTGTCACCTACCTTCTTATCTGTTTCCACTGAGGAGTACTCTGCACTTGGTAAAAGAAAAGCAATTGTGGCCACAAGGATCTGTATAAAAGAAAAATCCTCGATCAAATAGACCATAGTGATACTTTTGGAAGCCATATGGTAAGAGTCCCATGTGGCTTCCATCCCATTCTGTTGGTGGCAAAATTGGGGGCCCCAGAGAAAGAGATATTAATATCTGTAGTCATACAATTTCTATCTTCAGTCTCCACACTTGTGTAGAAAGCAAAAAATATTTTCAAAAATAGTTATGAAAATGCTCCCATTTGGTTTTCTTATGAATGACCCAGCTCTACACTGTTTTCCTAGTGTCACAGCACTGTGTTATTTTCAAAGGTCTTCCATGGAGATGTAAATTATATGGTTGCCCTAAAACCCAATTCCATTTTGCAGCACCTTATATTCCTATGTGCACAGTTCTATTTCACTCTAGGCCACTTAAGGTAAAAAATCACTTGTGATATTTGATGTATCTCTGAGAGAACAAAGTGATCTCATTGGTGAAATTTGTCTAGGGCTAAGAAAAAATAAATCAAGATCACTCTCCCTCTAATACCACATGGAAACAAATTTCCTGAAAGAGTTGCCACTGGAGCCCTAACCGGTTTAGCTCAGTGGATAGAGCATCAGCCTGCGGACTCAAGGGTCCCAGGTTTGATTCCGGTCAAGGGCATGTACCTTGGTTACGGGCACATCCCCAGTAGGGGGTGTGCAGGAGGCAGCTGATTGATGTTTCTCTCTCATCGATGTTTCTAACTCTCTATCCCCCTCCCTGCCTCTCTGTAAAAAAATCAATAAAATATATTTAAAAAATAAATAAATAATTTTTTTTTTAAAAAAGAGTTGCCACTGGATGTTAAAGAACAGGGCATGTTTTAAAGAGTACTGCTACACAAACTGGCAGGAATGGGTGTGCTTTACCACCAGGCCCCTACGGGGGGAGGGTACCTGCTCCTGTACAAGCAAGCATCCCCAATGCAACCAACCTCCAGGACATTACGCCTGAGACGATTCTTCCTGGTCTTCTGTCCCTCTCCTCCACCAGTTACCCTCACAGAGGGTATTAGAGCAGTAATCTCATTACAGCTGGCAATCACGCTATGGCAGAAGCACAGTCCAGGCCTTCAGTCTGGGAGAGACTCCTGGTTTTACACAGCAGTCCCCCACTTCCCCCCTGCTCCTCCCACCACACACAGAGGGCATCCTAACCAGCTGCCTACTCCTCGTTGGCACCATCCAAATTACTCTGGATGAATGAAGCCCAGGCTACAAAGGTCTCTTTGTTGTGGTCGTGTCTGCCTTTCAAACTCTCCAAGTGTAAGACTCTGCCCTGGAACACTGGTGGCTTCTCTACATAGTGCCTGAAATCACAGCCGAGGACCAGTGCAATTCAACCTTAAAATGAATGACTCGCGTGGCAATTTAATCGTCCGCTCTCTAACAATTAATTGAGTATCTACAATCAATTAAATATCAAATATAGGGTGTCCACCAAAATGTATACACACACTTTGAATAATGATAAAGGCAGTGTTTATTTAAATACATTTCATTTTGAAAATCAAGCTATCAGCTGTTAAAGTGTGTATACATTTTTTTTTGGCGGGGGTGGGGAGGTGGGGTGGGGGGAAACCCTGTATAGCAAAAAGGAAATGCTTATGCTTCAGCATTACAGACTTACTTCTGCAATCTTCAGAGGCAGAGAGGTTTCAAACGTCTGAAGCTTTTCCCAGTAGGAAACCAGCAACTGAAGAACATCACAAGCTGCCTGAGCCACGATTTTGTTAGGAAACTAGGAAAGGAAACAAAACCCCAAACTAAATAACCTCACTTAACATGCACATTACTCCTAAGGAAGAACGTAAGTTATTTCTTTCTAGCTCCTTTTAGAGATATATTTCCTTGTTTTGCTTTATTTTTTTTTCTTTTTATTGAATTTATGAGTGACACTTGTTAACAATTATAAAGGCTTCAGGTACACAATTCCACAACACATCATCCGGACACTGTATGTACTGTGTGTTCACCGCCCCAAGTCAAGTCCTCCTCTATCACCATGTATCCCCGCTTTACCCTCCTCCACTATTCCTTATCCTCCCCACTGTTGTCTGTGTCCATGAGTATTTTTTTTCAATCCCTTTACCACCACCACCCAGCCCTCCAAACCCTCACCCCAATAGCTGTCAGTGTTCTCTATCTATGAGTCTGTCTCTATTTTGCTGGTTAGTTCATTTTGTCCATTACATCCCATATGAGTGAGATTATATGCTACTCGTCTTTCTCTGACCGGCTTATTTCACTTAGCATAATGCTCTCCCAGGTCCATCCGTGTTGTCACAAAGGGTACGATTTCCTTATTTTTTTATAGCTGAGTAGTATTCCATTGTGTAAATGTACCACAGCTATTTTTATCCATTCACCTACTGATGGACAGTTGGACTGCTTCCAAATCTTGGCTATTGTAAATAAAGCTGCAATGAACATAGGAATGCATAGATTTTTTTGAATTAGTATTTCGGGTTTCTTCGAATTTTTATTTTGGTGAAAATGTGTCCTATTACCAGATAGTTTATAAATGATCATCATTCTATAACTGCCTCTTGTCCAGACTAGTTATATTAATTTATATAACATTCTGTAGAAACAAATAGCTATCATTTAATCATTTGGAAATTAAAACCATAACTTCAAAAGGTTTTTTTATGTGATCACATAAATCCTAGTGTTGACTAGTAGGAAATTTAAATTCAGTGCATTATTGAGTATCTGCTACTGAACCTTTTACAAGATAATCATTTTAGCGTTGAAAAATCTTCATCGACAGCTCTTTAAGATAGATGTTATCATCATTTCACACAAGGAGAAATGGAATGATCAAACATCTTTCTATCCTAGGAAATTAAACTTAACCCACATGTGAAACATAAAAAAAATATTAAAAATTTGGGACTATGAGAACAAGACTCACGAGTTATGATATATTCAATTACTTTGTGTACGTTTCCTGAGTCTGCATGTGTCCAAGTTCCTCTGGCTGCTTAAACTTCTTCTGAGATGGCATGTCAGAGGGGTAGCCCCTGCAAAGACTGGTGGCTGAGGGTGCATGAAAGGCAGGGCACCCTGGCCAGAACCTTGGGCTACATTGCCACCCACACCTCATTATCTAGAGCAGAAAGGTTTGCCAATGACTCTGTGTCCCTGTTTGGGAAACCTCGGGATAGGTAGCTTCGTTATTTCCACACCAAGGAGTTCCAAGTCACATGAAGCAGACACCAACTGACTTGGATACCACACAAACAACACAGAAAAGCTAACATTTAGCACTTCAGTGACTAATGTAGAGGATAAGGAAGACGGTGATTAATTTTAATTCTACAGAATAAACAGTTGCTGACTACCCCTTCCTGACAGGTGCAAGGTAAACCCAGGGTAAGAGCACCTGCACTCAAGGGTTCTTCACAGCCTCAACCAGCCGTCCAGGCCTCAGATGACCTGATTCTCATGGGCATCTCTCATCCCACAAACACTCTGGCTTATTTCTGCCCTGAGCCTTTACACCTGCTCCTTGTTTGCCTGAGGCACTCATTCTCCAGATCTGCATTCGGCTGATGCTGTCATATCTTTTAGATAATAGCACAGCCACCATACCCACCCAAAGTTGCAGTCCACCCCCTCTAGCTCTTCTGTTTCATCCTGTCCCTCTGCTGTCATTTCTTTATGGCATTAATGGCTGTCTGAGCTGATCTGTTATGTTTGTCATTTATTAAATGTAGTAGTTTTCTGGTGGAGTCTTTAGGGTTTTCTATGTACAATATCATGTCATATGCGAATAATGAGAGTTCTACTTCCTTCTTTCCAATTTGGATGCCTTTATTTCTTCTTCTTGTCTGATCCCTGTGGCTAGGACTTCCAGTACTACGTTGAATAAGAGTGGTGAAAGTGGACATCCCTGTTTTGTTCCTGTTCTTAGGGGAAATGGTTTTAGTTTTTGAGACTGATGTTGGCTGTAGGTTTGTCATATATGGCCTTCATTATGTTGAGATATGATCTCTCTATTCCCACTTTGCTGAGAGTTTTTATAAAAAAAAGGTATTAGATTTTGTTGAATGCTTTTTTGTGTCTATTGATGTGATCATGTGGTTTAGATAATGTATCACATTATTTGTGAATATCATGCCAGCTTTGCATCCCTGGAATAAATCACACTTGGTCATGGTGTATGATCTTTTAATTATATTGCTGGATCCCATTTGCTAATACTTTGTTGAGGATTTTAGCATCTCTGTTCATCAGATATACGGGCCTACAACTTCCTTTCTTTGTCGTGGTTTCACCTGGTTTTGGAATTAGGGTAATGCTGGCCTCCTAAAATAAGCTTGGGAGTCTTCCTTCCTCTTGAGTTTTTTGGAAGTTTGAGAAGGATAGGTGTTAGTTCTTCTTTGAATGTTTGGTAAAATCCACCTGTGAAGGCATCTGGTCCAGGGCTTTTATTTGTTGGGAGTATTTTTTATTGCTGCTTCCAATAATCTGTCTATTCAGATTCCCTGATTCAGTTTTGGAAGATTGCATGATTTTAGGAACTTATCCATTTTGTCCAGATTGTCCAATTTGTTGGCATACAATCATTTGTTAATATTTTCCTAAAATCCCCTGTATTTTTGTGGAGTCAGTTGTTACTTCTACTCTTTCATTTCTGAGTTTGTTTATTTATTTGGGTCCTCTCTCTTTTCTTTTTCTTTCTTTCTTTTTTTTTTTTTGATGAGTTTGATTGAAGGTTTGCCAATCTTGTTTATCTTTTAAAAGAACCAGCTCTTGCTTTTCATTGATCTTTTGTACATTTTTTAAAGACTACTTCATTCAAGCTGGAGCAAGAGGGGTTCCTTGGCTTTCCTTAGTCATATTCTCTTTTATTTCTAAAATGGAAATAATAACTGAATGTACAGGAGTGGCAGATCCACCTCCATGCACTGTGCTGCAACACCTGTGACAGAGTTAAGGGCAGGTACATATTTTTCTGGTGCCTTATGTTTTTCCTCATATTTGTAGAAAATTACAGAAATTTTTGAAAATTTGTATAAATAGAAAGAAAAAAAATAAAACCTCATATTCTTCTCTTGTTACCAATTTCCATCTCTCTTCTATACTACATAGATATATAGATATGCACATCTGTACAACTCCTTAATTTCAAGATAATATCAAATTATTAACATATTTTCCAGGAAAGGGGTAAAGATGGGGGGGGGGACCACATTACATTAAATATACATTTCTAGATTTAAGAAAAATTAAAATTTGAAAAACAGATCTCAGAATAGAAAAAATAAAATATTAAAAAAATTAACTGGAATCTACACACACACAATTGATACCCAACTTTTTCCATTTTGTATGTGATTATTTCTCCATGGCTTTGGAAGTCAGTGAGAATGTCCTGCACACCACATTTGTGACGAAGCCTACACATGAGGCCAGAGTATCTTGGGTTTGACCCTGACAAGCTCTATTATTCTCAATAAACTTATTTTCCTCATCTGTAAAGCAGAGTTGGCAATAACCCTTCACCTTATAGGATAGTTCTAAGGATTAAACACAATGACCAAGGTCAGGGTTCAGTTCCCTTCTCAGGGCACAGGGAGTACTCCTAAGTGATAATCTTGGTTTAATTAATTTTCCATTCCTCTCCACAGGGATCACCAGCAAGCGTTTTTCCAGCTCTCAAGACATAAAGGGCAATCCCAAGGGATGTCAAGGAGGGAAGGGAGAGGACAGAGTGACAGAGGGAGGTGGTCAGAGGGCACGCCTAGGGAATAGGAGCATTGAGTTTGGCCAGAAAGAGTGGTGGGTGAGGAGGGTTGCCAATAAATCAGGCTGCCAAGGAAGGCAGGGGCCAGACAAGAGGGCTGGATGCTGAGACACGGGCAGGGGAACACTGGTGTTATCCTGTGGGCTGACACACAAAAGGCGGCACAGGGCTGTCAATGGCCTGGTGGTGACTGTCACAAGCGCCAACCTCAATGGCTGTTATTATTAGAGCAGCATGTGGCAGACAGCAAAGAAGGGCAGGCAAGAGCCTGCATGTGGGTGATAGGCAGACAGTTCAGGATTCAGCAAGGCCAGGTTGTTGCTCTAGAGCAGTGATGGCGAACCTATGACACGCGTGTCAGAGGTGACACGCGAACTCATTTTTTGGTTGATTTTTCTTTGTTAAATGGCATTTAAATATATAAAATAAATATCAGAAATATAAATCTTTGTTTTACTATGGTTGCAAATATCAAAAAATTTCTATATGTGACATGGCACCAGAGTTAAGTTAGGGTTTTTCAAAATGCTGACACACCGAACTCAAAAGGTTCGCCATCACTACTCTAGAGCAAGCATGTCAAACTCACAGCCCGCCACGAGGCCTGCGGCCCGCCAGCTGCGAGTTTGACATGCTTGCTCTAGAGCCTGGAACAAATTCTTTAACTCCTCTGCACCTCAGTTCCTCCACTGTAAAATGGGCAATTACCTAGCAATGGAGAACTTCCACAAACCTTCGGCATGATGCCTGCCAGGGGCTGGCCACTTATTCGTTCTGGGGGTGTACTAACAGCAATACTAAAATTCCTGCCATCATTTCTAAGCAGGAGCCAGGAAAGGACCCAGCAGAATTTGAGCTCTGGTTTAAAAAGTGGCCTCACAGTGCATATAAAAGTTGAGTTTTGTCTCATGCCACACAGATCAGCTCTCAGCGCTGGTTGCATCACTTAAGCATGAATGACTGTGGGATCATGACCTGATTTCCCTGGCCTTGCTTTCCCCTGGAGTGACACAGGGATGGTGGCATCTACCTCAGTGCTGTCAGGAAGGTTAACCAAAGCACTCAGAGACTTCAGCATGAATCAGGCCCAGCATGAGTACCCAGTAAATGGCAGTTCTTCTTTTCATTAGCAAAGCAAAGGCAGAAAGATGTCCCAAGAGTGCCCAAAGCCCAGCAGGACCGTGAGCACTCAAGGTCATAACCAGGACTGCTATGTCACTCCTCGTCCCACCTATGAGGCCAGAGCACAAAATCCCACTTTATTGTCACTCCTTCCAGGTGTCCTGCTTGCCACAGGAACTGCCCAGCCACCAAGGGAACCCAATTTGCCACTGAACTTGGTCTAGAAATGCTCAGACTGGAGGTCCGGTTGCAGTGGTCAGTGGGGAAGCAGCCAGTGGTGGCCTCTCCTGAGGACCTCACAGAACATTCACCATGGCTCTCAGAAAAATACATATTTTTAAATTAAAAATACCCTTTTGGTGCCCTACTGGCATGGCTCAGTGGTTGGCTGCTGACCAATGAACCAGGAGGTCACGGTTTGATTCCCAGTGGGGTGCATGCAGGAGGCAGTCGATTGATGTCTCTCTTTCATCATTGGTGTCTCGATCTTTCTCCCCCTCTCCCTTCCTTTCTGAATCAATAAAAATATATTTTTAAAAAATACCCTCTTGGTAATGGAGGGGAAAATAAAGATGGGGCTAATTCAAATGAAAACTGGTTGAAAACCTAGAATATGGCTTAATGTCAAATGTATATCATGAGTTGGTAATACCTTCAAAGTGACACCTATCACATTGATGGCCTCTTTCAGCTGAGGATGGCTCGTACACTGTGCAAGTTCTTCACATATCCAGACCCCGAGGGAGCAAATGGCAATGCATCTTTTAAGAAAGAAAAAGAAAGGAGATTTTCATTAAATTCAATGTTTTAATTTAATTCCTGGACCAAATTTTCTTGGTAATTTCAAATGACAAAATATTTTTAAGAAGTAGCAAAATTTATATTAACAAAATGTCTTCTTGAGAAAAAAAGGTAAGGTACCTTCCATAGACTAGTTTTCAGGACAATAAGAAATATTGAGAATGGTTAGTAGTTCAATATTTAATAAAATAAATGGTATATTTTCTTTTAATGTCACAGCCCATATATCAACCTATCTTTGTTGAAACTAATTTTAAGTACATTTTACTGCTTTGAGACATTTTTGAGGAAGATTAAAAAATGAGGATGTTAGAATATTGTTGGAAATTGAGTTTGTAACTGTTTTCCTTAAAATAAGATACACAACACCTATCACAAATAGAAGACAGATCCTATATTTTAGTGTAAAGAATATTTGAATACAACTTTCAAAACAAGTTTCACTGTTATTTCTCTTAAGCAATGTATTAAGACAGAATAGTTTTTGAGTCGCACAGTCCTTTACAAATTACTTTCTCAATTATAAATCAATTTTAAATGATAATTCTCATTGGAACTGATATGTTCCACTATCTTTTACAATAACCAAAAAAAGTCATATGCCTGTTATCTTTTTTCTTAATGCCGACATATACAATTAAAATATTTGTTCCCAAAACTGCTTATTTTCAGAACAAAAAGTGATTCAAACCACAACTCGGAGTCAGACATTGGCTGTAATATGTATCTGTTCTTTGTAATAAGAGGTCACATCCAGTGCCAATCACAATGGACATACTGCTCAGCTCTCTACACTGAAAGTTCATTTGTATTCAATATAAATCCACAATTAAAATCAATATACTTTGAGGTCTTAAAACCACCAGTTTCATTGGATTCTCATCTCTTTAAATTAGGATAGACTAAGTGCATCAGAACAAACATATTAAAAACCCTTTGAAGATTGTGTCACCTTCTGCCAAAATTCACTCATTAAAGCAGTGCAACTCAGTTTACAAGGTGTGCCCGGCCATTTCTGTTTCTCCCACACCAGCATTATCAGGAGTTCCACACTATTTTAACCCTGGATAGTTCTTCCTGTACAGAACTGTCTAAATCTATCTCTTCTCTTACCTAATACCTTTGCTTATTCTCATCTAGAAACTACTTTGCATTCTTGGTTTGCATATAGCACTCTATATTCCCAGGTACTCTACACTTCTTTATTTTCCCCCAGATTAACCCAGACTCTGTTCAATCCGCTAAAATCTATACAACTTGTAATTATATTAAAAAATTCATTTTTTACCATTTTAAGGGACTCTCTTTCTTTGTGTGCATGTGTGTATATGTTTAGGAGTGCGTGTATACAAATGGTTTTTTTTACAACTCATTAACCTATTTGTCAAAGGTAATTTGTTAAGGGCAAAGATCTCTCATTTCTAGGACCTGCATTACTCTGTAACTATTAGCTTTGCACTATAGAGAACATTTGTGACCCATAAAATGGTTTTATAATCTAAACTACTCTCGTTTGCTTTGAGTTTTAAAGCCACAGTAGCTCATAAGAGCTCTTCCATGCTATTTTCTCTCTTTGAAATTTATCATTTAACATTCCCATTTGGCATCTTCCAATTCTAATACTCTCAATTATCCCTCATGCCTAGGCTTTCCTGCCAATTAAGATTCTCTGTATCCCAAGTATGTCCTTTGTGATCCTTAATGAGTTTTATTTATCAAGACTTTTTTTTTAGCTAATGGCAATACTGCCTTCACCCTTCTGCTGTATTCCACTATACCCTCTTGTTTGCTACCACCTCATACCAGTCCAGTTTATACAAAAAAACTTCTAATTTTGTCTTAATTTTTCTAAATCATCACTCACAAGCATACTATATTCTTTCTTAAGTCTTCTCCATTTATTTGAAATCTCAATCATACTTCAGCCTGCATGTTTATCTACACTTACATTCCCTTAATTTAATTACCTGATTCCTTTTATACACAACTAAGAAAGACTGACCATATCATAACATTTCTATCCCATTTTTAACTCTAAAGAAATTTGACTCTCTACACTCAAGAAAAGGGGTTTGAAAAGAAGGTACTGTCAACACTTGTTGAAGGGTTCAATATGGTGGGTAAGGGAAAAGGAAAAATAAAGAATTTTCTCCAAACTTCTGGATTAAAAAATGTAGTTAGACGATGGTACCATTTACTAAGATGCAGTCTGGGAGACAGTCAGAAGACTCAGTGGTTCATTACAGTGTATTAAGTTTGGATATGTTAAGACATCTAAGTTGAGATATCCAAGCAGTTTAATATATAAGCCTGGATATATCATGGGTTCCCAGTAGGGTCCAGGTAAATAAATTCAGTATCATTAGCAGGTAGGTGGAATTTAAATTCTGATTAGAATGAATAAAAACATCTAGAAGGTCATGGAGAGAGAAGAATCAAGTCACTCTAACATTCAGAGGTTTAGGGAGAAGAGGGAGAAAGGGAAAGAGCAGGTGTAGTGGTGGAGAAGCAAAACCAGAAGACTGCATTTTAAGGAACTGGCAATGCTGAGGATAAAGACAGACTAACTTCAGAATTAGTAAGGTAAGTATGCATATTAACATTTCTAAGGTAACCTCTAAAAGAACTGAAAGAGTATCTATGACTTCCAAAAAAACAGGTGTAATAAATAGAATGTGGGAAAATAATCTGAAAAAAAAGAAAGAGAAAAAGAAAAAGAAAACAAGGAAGGAAAGAAGAATGACTAGGAGGGAAGGAGGAAGAAAGTAAAAAAGGAGAGGGGAAAAAGGAGAAGGCAAGAGAAGGGAGAAAATGAAATACTGGGAAGGGACAATAGCAAAGTAAAAAAAAGATGAAAGATCTATAGTTTTTGCAAAAAGAGAATTTAAAAGAGAAGAATACAAAAAGGTTAAATTTAAAAGGATAGAAATTATTATTAAAAATAGCTGGATCAATATCAGACAAGTGGTCTTTAAGATAAAAAAATTACCCTTAGAGATCAAGAGGGTCACTACATAAATATAAAAGATTTAATTCACTATAGATCTAATTCAAGTTCTTTGCACCTAATAACATAGCTTCAAATTTATATATTTCAAAAATGAACAGATATACTAGGGAGATTTTAATGTATTTTTCTCAGTAAATGATCAAGTGATAAAAAAATTAAAAAGATTATGGAATATTTAAAGGACATGATTTAAAAATTAATAAAGGAGACACATCTAGAATACTATACCCAACAACTGGAGAACAGTGTATACATGCACTGTTTTTCAAGCATGTATGAGACATCTGCAAAAACTGACTACATACAGGGTCATAAGGCAAATTTCAATACTTTCTTAAGACTATTATCAGGGCAGACAGCATTTCTGACCCACAATGCAGTTAACTCAAGAGTAGCAAAAAATAAACAGAAATAACCATGTTTGGAAATTAAGAAATATGTTTCTAAATAAATCATAACTCAATGAAGGAATCATAGTGGAAACTGGAAAAAATTAAGTGAAGCATTTTCCTGATATAATATTTGTTATACTTTTTAGTGTGTGTAAGGGCAATTGAAATAATGTGTTTAGTAACATTGTGTTTACACACAAATGTGTATCATAAAAATGTAAAATTGTTTACATTTTATTCAACATTTACCTTGCACATTCACTTGGTTCCTCTGTGGCATTCTTCAGTAAAATATTTATGAGGTAATGCTAAAAAAAATCAACAACACAATTAAGTAAAATAAAAATGCTGCTTAGTAGTTGTTTTCCTGCACGTTCTGACTGTTCCAGGCAGTTAGGAGATCCTAAAGGACCCGGGAACCAGGGGGAGGAATTATGGGACTCAGGGGGAGCCCCTGGGCAACTAAGCTGGTCTAGAGAACAGAATTCCTGGACATACAGCAAAAATGTAGCAAAGCCAGTGAGACTTCCAGATAGGAAATCCCTGGTTTTCTTTTACTTTAATTGGATTACATATAGCACACTCAATTAATTATTGTAATTATATACTACAGGTAGGAAGTTTGATCGATTCTGAGATTTAAAATGCACTTTTGTTTGCCCCAAAATCAGGGGAGGAGAGAACAAATGTTCACTTTTATTCTCTAAGGAATAATTTGGAATTTCAAATTATTAGTAGGAATTAATCAGGGCAGCAATGAAATTGAATATGTAGCTTATTTCAATTATTGTTTTAAATAAATTCATTTGATATGCTAACGCAGCATAATTAAACCAATAAAATTATTATAAAGGATGATTCGTTACATAGTTATGACCCAGACGCATGATAAACAGATCTAATAAAAAATACCCAAGGAACCTCTCAGTTTTAACTATAGTATTCTCTGAATCTCATACTTTTAACCTCCCTAAAACAGCCCTCTAAAAAACACAACTATTGAAACATTCACTTGACATAGCAAAACTTTCAGATAAGCAGGTCACTGTGTAATAATGGAAGAGATAGCCATTGAGCTAGAATGGCAAAGTTCTAAACTTGAGATTTAGTCAAGTGCATTATGTACCTTGACATCTTCGGTTCCTGCGATGACTTCACCAACTTCTGGCACGGACTGCAGCAGAGGGATCTCCTGGTAGACGTTGGGAAAGCAGACGAGAGAACCGAGAATGGTGAGAGCTTCGGAACGAGGGGCCTGCACACAGGAAAGGGAAACACATTTTTCTTCTTATAAGTTAGAAACTTTAGATAAGAGACGACATGTCTTACTTCTTTTATGACCATGAAAGGGAATCTTTGTAATTATTTTATCTTAGATAAAAAACACCAAACTATGCCTGGTTATTCTCCCGCAGGTGAATACTTACTTAAGCAGGAGAGGTTTGCCTAAATGAAAAAGCTAACTTCCACGGAATGAAAAATATCACTATACTTGGATATAAACAAGCATTGTGAACAGTGGTCTGCCGATTGACTCTCTCATGACTGCTTTCCGTTTTTGTGGTTTTTTTAAAAATCTTATGTTCTTGACAAAGCAGGGTAAATTATATCAACTTAATATTATTTTTGCTATAAAGACAGTTAAGGAAAATTCAAAAGGAAAAGGGGTTGGGCTATCAGAAGGTAGAGAAAGAGAGAAGACACCATCTACTTAACTTCCCGTTTCACCAAGAAATGCTTAGCAAAATATAGTGTCTGACATACGGTGAGGTACGAGACCACTTGTTTGTCATTACTGGAATTAGGTATACAGTGGAACCTCAGTTCTCGAACTTAACACATTGTGGACCAGTAGTTTTAGTGCTAGCTTTGCCCAGTGGCCAGATAAGTTTCTATTGAACGAGTACAAAAAAGGTTGTACATAAATGTTAAAGGCACGCTTTAAAATTAAATACCCATTGCATTTTGAAGTTATTACATGTTCTTATAAGCTAATATCTTCTTAAAGTATGGAACTTTGTAAAACACCGTGTAATAGGAAGCAAGAATTCTCGTGATCCATCCTCAATGTGTTAATTCAGTTCTAGAAGGCTGTTCAAGAATCAATCTGCTCGAAGACTGAATCATTTTTTCCCATTAGAAATAATGTACTAGTAAATTGAATTACCTTGTACCAGACCCCCAAATGATTACGTTTTAACCTTTCTTAGGTGTGAAATTATAATATTTGGCTTTAGATGTCTAATGCATTGTTTAATCTATAAGCAAACAGTACATGTCTAATGTATTATTTAATCTATAAGAAATACTTCTTTTCTTAACTTTATCAAACCACCCCCTACTAGCCTTAAATGAATCACTTCCAGCACTCATTCTAGGGGTGTCTTTCAGGAAGCTGGCATGCAGCATCTTAGCTTTTTCACTTATCACGCCTCCAAAATGCTGTTACAGGCTAACTGCTTTTCCTTTATTCAATTAACAACAGTTTGGGTTTTCTTTACCTTTTCAGTGGCCTGTGATCAGTTTCTTTTACATCCTTAGCAATAGCACTTTTAATGGCCTGTTTATGTTTAAAGATTGTGCTGTCTATTTCACTAGCAACAGAAGTAAGCAAACAAAAATAAACAAACAAAAACCTCATAAATATATTCACAGAACAATTTCCTGAGACATTAACAAGGCAATACTTAGGTCTGACAAAATAGACTTCTAAAGAAAGACCATAAAAAGAGACAAAGAGGGTCACCACATAATTCTAAAGGGTTTGCTACAACAAGAAAATATAACCCTTGTAAATATATAGACACCCAACATAGAAGTACCTATATGTATTTTTTAAAGTCTTGGAAGACTTTAAGGAAGAGATCGATAGCAATACAGTCATAGTAAGGGACTTTACCACCCCAATGACATCACTGGATAGTTATTCCAGACAAAAATCAACAAGGAAACAGCAAACTTAGACACAATAGATCAGATGGATTTAATTGATATCTACAGAACATTTCATCTAAAAGTGGCATTCTTCTTAAGTGCACATGGAACATTCTTAAATGCTAGAAAAAAAAAAATTCTTAACAAATTTAAGAAGACTGAAATCCTATCAAGCATTTTCTCAGATCACAATGGCATCAAACTAGAAATCAACTACAATAAAAAAACTCAAAAACATTCAAGCACATTGAGGCTAAATAGTATGTAAGAATGAATGGATTACCAATGAGATCAAGAAAGGTATCATAAATTTCCTGGAAACAAATTAAAATGAACATACAACAACCCAAAATCTATAAGCAATAGCAGAAGCAGTCCTAGGAGGGAAGTTCACAGCTTTACAGGCTTACCTCAAGCTACAAGAAAAAGCTCAAAGTTTAATTCTATAACTAAAAGAATTAGAAAGAGAAAAACAAGAAAAGTGCAGAGTAAGTAGAAAGAAGAAAATAATAAAGATCAGAGTGGAAATAAATGACATAGAGACTAAAAAAACAACAACAAAACAGAAAAACAATACAAAAGATCAATGAAACCAAGAGCTGTTTTTTTGAAAAGATAAGCAAGACTGACAAACTTTTAATCAGACTTATCAAAAAAAAAAAAAAAAGAGAGAGAGAGAGAGAGAGAGGACCCAAATACATAAAATCAGAAATGAAACAGGCAAATAACAAGTGACATAACAGAAATATAAGAGATTGTAAGGACATGGTATGAACAACCATATGCCAACAAACTGGATGACCTGGGTGAAATGGACAAATTCCTCGACCACATAATCTTCCAAAACTAAATCGGGAAGAATGAGAAAACCTGAATAGGCAGAAGTTGTACTGAAACTGAAGCAGTAATAAAAAATATCCCAGCAAACAAAAGTCCTGGACTGGATGGCTGAGCACAATTTGCAAACACTGGATGCCCACTCCAGAGCTATGCCAATGAAGTCTGTTCAGGAGGAAGTTCGGAAGTGGTGACTCACCAGGGTAGCTTGCAGCTGACAGATGACAGGCAAGACATGTTAGTTATGAGGTAGTTACAGCCTAACTCTCTTTCTAGAAAGAAGAAGTTAAGAAATTCCTTGAATTGCACCTGGTGTGTCAGGTGAGAGTGCTGAGGAGAGCTGTGAGAGGAGTGTCAGAGGACCTGGTGGTCAGGTGGGTTGGACATTATTAATAATCATGGTTGGCTTCTAAATACTGGTAGCAAGATGATTTCTGATTTGTAATCTTAGGTAAATTATCCTATATAATAAAAGCCTAATATGCTGTGTCCGGTCGTCCCTTCAACCAATCAAAGCATAATATGCTAATGTATGCTAAGGCCGCTCAACTGCTTGCTATGATGTGCACTGACTACCAGGGGGCAGTTGTCCAGTCGCTATGACGTGCACTGACCACCAGGGGGGAGACGCTCCGACTGGTAGGTTAGCTTACTGTTGGAGTCCAGCCAATCATGACTGAGCGAGACAGGCTGAACATGCCCTGGAGTCCTCCTACTGTCCCTCCCCAGCTGGCCAACCTCTCGCGTCACTCCCCGGCCATGACTGTGTACTGGTGGGGTCCCTCGGCTTGGCCTGTGCCCTCTTGCAATCCGGGACCCCTCGGGGGATGTTGGAGAGCCAGTTTCAGCTAGATCCGCAGGCCAGGTGAGGGACCCCACTGGTGCACAAATTCGTGCACCGGGCCTCTAGTAGATAAAAGAAAAAGGCCAGTAATCATACACTAAGGCTAATAAATAGCACTTCCAGTTGAACCGCATGAGAGTTGTGCTTGCAGCAGGGTTTCACAAGACAAGGCACCCAGATTTTTTCTTCTCATGTCTGGTTTGCAGAGCAGCTTCTGTGGCCATTTCCAAAACTTCCCTCACTCATCTTTGGTCTTTGCTGAACATTCCATGTACTTAAAAGCGCCAATGCTGTGTGCCATATCTCTGCCTTCTTCCAGGTTTTCCGGCTCCTGCTTCATCTGGCTAGTTCCTGCCCTGAGTGCTCATCATTCCAAAGATCCTTCTTGTTTCCAAACAGGATGATGGGCAGGTTGGGACAGAAATGCTTGACTTTCGGAGTTCATTTTTGTGGGATGTTCTCTAAACTATCAGGATTATCAATGGAGAAACAAATCAGTATAACATCGGTGTCCAGGAAGGAGAGGGGCCTCAAGCAATCATAATCTTCCTGCCCAGCTGTGTCCCACAAAGCCAACTCTACTTGCTTTCCATCCACTTCAACATCGGCCACATAGTTCTCAAACACCGTACATACACACCTCTGGGAACTAACTGGGCCTTGCGAAAATGATGAGAAGCAAGTCTAGCCACAGGCTCCATCACCAACAATCACAAATTTCTTCCGGATGGCAGGCATTGCTTTCTAATGTGGTGCCAGGCCTGTGTGGCAGAAGTTCTACAAAGTGCCTTGAACATCTCAGATGAAAAGCACTCAGGCAACAGCTCCCACTGCAGCCTGGGAGACTAGGGCAGGTGGCTGAGGAGACAGCAGTAGACTAATGGGAGACCCGACGAGAACAGCAGCAGCAGGGTGAACTCAAGCAAGCAAGGGTGGACCATGGTAGACCAGTAAAGCTAATTTTATTTATACCATTTGAAGAGGAAAAAATGAATCTGAAAAAGTAACAGTTATACTGAGCACAAATGTGAGAAGCCCTTTAAATTTAAATATATAAGACTGTTCTCGCAAAAGACACTGAGACACTGCCTTAGTAGGTGAGGTACATGTGGAGATTATAAATAAATTCTTTTTGTAGCTCTGAATACCCATTTAGTCAGTCTACTTTCTTCTAATTTTTTAGTACAGGAATTCTGCACATTAATAAGAAAATATATATTCATTTTCTAGTTAAAATGTTAGTGTTCTAACATTTAAAAACATTTTATACTAAACTTCTAACAACTCATACAATAATGAGAAAAACTTTATTAATAATGTAACTTGCCCTGGCCAGTGCTGCTCAGCAGTTGAAGCATCGGCCAATGCCCCGAAGGGTTGTGGGTTCGATTCCTGGTCAAGGGCATGTACCTGGGTTGCAGATTGGATCCCCGGTTGGGGCATGTGTGGGAGGCAGCCAATCGCTGTGTCTCTCTCACATCGATGTTTCTCTCTCTTTCTTTTTCTCCCTCTCCCTTCCTCCCTTCCACTCTTTCTAACAATCAATGGAAGAAATCCCTTTGCGTGAGGATTAACAAAGAAAATAACAATGTGCCCTCAAAATTCTATCTTCATTATGGACATCTCTTTATGCTCTAACATTTTAAGAAGACAGTTCTTACTAGACTTCTAATAACCAAGAAAATAATGAAAAACAAACATTACTGATAATAGAAACTTAAAATTCTCTCTTTATTATAGACATCTATGCCTGTGCCATTTACTAGCAAATGCTAGTAAGATTCTAAGAGACAAGTCCTGCTTCTGACTGTGTGAATGTGCTGAAAATATTAGTGAGGATGATTTTTCACACTCTGGCCTTTTGATGAAACGCCTTTCCAATAGCAGTGTGTCATCTTATCCTACAATTTCACACATCAGCTGCCAGGGCATCTACCCGAGAGCCCAGTTTCACATTGCACTAATGAGTCAACACCTGTTAAGAGTGGAGAAATCTGAACCTTGTTAGCGACTGTGAAGCCTCCTGGGAGCGTGAATGCTGAGCATTGTCATACTCACCGCCAGCATGTCTGTCCCGAGGACCCTGGCAGCAGCCGTGATGAAGTCCTCCACCAGCATTGAGAAGCCAGGCAAACCCAGGGAGAAAAAGCGGGGCGGACAGTGCCTTATAATGGTATTTAAGATATCCTAAAAGGAAAGGGGAGAAAACACAACGGTCATTTTCAAGAACAAAATTCCAAAGGAGGCATATGTCTGCACATGACCCTGCGTGGTAACCTACGAGGGCGCAGATCATAGAAATGTCTCAGTGAAACGGATACTTGGAGATGAGTTCGTCAAGAGCTATTGTACCATTTTACAAGTAAGAGAATCGAGACACTGTAAGACGACTTGCCCAAAATCTGAATTGTGGCGTTGGGACTAGACACTTATGTCTTCCACCTACAGGTGAGCTCCTTGGACAAGCTAAAGGAGCGTTGAGGTAAATATACAAATAAGATCTCTGTTTATATATCCCTTTCCATATTCTTTGATTTTCAAAAGTTCAGCATATTGTTACATTAAAAAATCTTAAAGCAGACAAAGAGATGGAAATTTTTATTCATTCGTCGGGTGGTTCCACATTAAACAATTTCATGAGCCATGAGAATGCTGTGATCACACTCCAAGGGCAGGAAGTTGGTGTGGCTCTGAGTGTAAGTGTGATTGCAAAGTACAGTGCAACGTGCAGCAGTAGCCTCTTCACAGCATGCAGGCCACCAACCGCCCGGACACCTGGTGCTCCTGTGTCTGCCACAGCCTCTCCCTGGTGGGTGGCTGGCTGGCCCATGGCAGACCAGAACAGGACGCCACTGGACAGCATTAATGCCACCCATGGTCAGGCCACAGCTATGAAACCATCTGTGTGAGTATGTGTATGCAAAGGGAGCTTAGTAAGAAAACCAAAAACTTTTTTTATGCAGTTCTAGGCAATGCACATTAATCAAACATGCGAAAGTACTATAGTTATGTTACTTGTAGTTATACAACCTACAGTTAGTCTCAAAAAGCAAGAAGCAAAATTTTTAAACATCTGGTTTCTTTTCTCAGATTTTAGTGTGGCTATTTCAAAAACCCTTCAAAATAATCCAAATTTCATTTGATTAAATTAGAGCAAGGGAGTAGCAACATGCCGTATTCTAAAAAAGTCCTTTGTAATAAAAATAACCTCACTTAACAACGTCTTATCTAAAGAGTTTTTGTGTTTACATTTAAGACTAATTTTTTCCTTACACAATGGACTCATTAAGTTTCTAAAAATTGTGCTGTTTTTATATTCTATCTTTAAAATTACTGTACAATGCTTATTCTATTAGAGCTCATATATATATATATATATATGATAAAGAGTTCAGCAAGTACTAAAGTTTTAGAATTTCAGCAAGCTTTTTCCTATGCTAAACATAAATAGGTAGATAGATAAATAGATGGGCAGACAGATAAAAGGAAGGAAGGAAGGAAGGAAAAACCTGAACCACACTTCTTGCAAGTTAATGTTTAAACCTGCGTTAATCACGTCCTTTGATACACTTTAGCGTCCGTATCAGCCAAGACAAACATTCTAAGGGACTGAGCAGATGGATGCTGCAGTTTAGAAAGTGTGTGGTAAACTCATGCTCCAAGAGTGGAACAAAAGATCCACCTTTTTCATAATTAAGCCTCTGATTAATGCCCTGGGCTCCTCACCACACACCTGTAATTACTCACAGAGGTACGCATTGTGCGGCCCTTGTCTCGGAATATCAGGCATCAAGCTATCCAGCAGCAGATGGGAGTACATTTCTGTTGACATATGCTGCAATGAAAGGATTCGTGCAAACCTGGCTAGCAAGGTAGCAGAATGCCATGCATTTGAAGATTAATAATGCAAACAACCATGATGTTAACTTTGTTATGTTTATAGTGTTAATTCCATCTGTTGAGATGAAGAACTAAGCCTTGAACACTATAGATTTTTAAAATATTTAGCCCACACTTGAATAAACCATTTTCACAACTGGAATTCAGAATTTTAATTATAAAATGCTTTTCTGGGATAAGTTTATGGTAATTATGAACTAAATCCTTTAATAAGCTAAAGCTGAAATTTGTAAATGAAATCCATTTTGCTTCAAGAGATTCATATGTGTAAAGCAATGACCTGTAAATGGGGCATTCACAAAAAATCACTACGTTGGCATTGATGCTAAAGACAGCAGAAATGTGGGTAGCCGAGGTAAAGTCTCACGGCCCCCCTACCACTGGACCGTGGCCAGTCACATCAAGGGAACCTGTTTCTATGGGCAAGAAGATTGGAAAGAGAGTGCAAAATAACAGATGGCTAACCTACCCTGCCCTGCCACCCACATAAGACGGAGCCCCAATGAGAAGCAAGAGCCTGTGCTGCCCTGGCCAGCTAAAGATGGCACTGGAGTAGGTTAATGTGCAGGTTAAAGAGGGGAATATATGGCCAGTCAGCCAAATTATGGCCATCTACTGGATAATTTTGCTTGTGCAAACTGAAATAGAACAACCCAAAGATTTCCTCTTCGTGAAGACATTTTAAATTAGGAATAACTGTATGGTACTCAAAAGAGAGCAGCTGTGTTTTCCCAGTAAAGGGTCATCCACAAAATACTCCCCTCATTTCCAGTAGCATCCTCTTTCACCTTCATGGCTATAATGGGGATCTTTGGGAAAATAAAAAAATCTCGACACTCTGAACCTTTCTTCACAGCTTCCCAAATGTCAATTATTCATGTACAACCTCATGCTATTGACATGTCCACATCCAAAGTGAATATTATTTATCTGTTTTTCAAAGTAACATACTTTTTTGAACTTAAATAAGATTATTCTGGAAAACTAGTAAGTTGTCTCATAAACAGAAAATAACCCTTAGATCAATACAATAACAGCAAACCAAGACTACTGAATTTTTGCTAACTGTCGCTGTCTGACGGAGGCTCTCCTTGTTTAAAAGTTGGTTTGCATCCCAGAAGGCTAGGAGAGAAGTTCTGTACCCACTCCAGACGTACTACCAAGGCGAGTCCCAAGGACTGGAAAGGGGCCATTATTTCCACCATGCAATTTGATGCTCTAGTGCTACCTTCATTGTGACCACCAGTGGGAAATGGCCCGCTAGAACTGGGGCCACTAGAATATGTGATCATGGCAGAGCATGTCTAGAGCTTCATGTTTCTCTTCCATAAAATGGGATGATTTCCCTTTAGAGAGCTGTGTCTAATGGTACACTAGATATGAACACAGTCCTCTGTAAAATGAAAAGGGCCATACAGAAGTAAAGAGTGACAAGTGAAAAAATTTTTTTGTCACAAATGGAAGGACTATGAAATATTTCACTTTCTAGAAGTCACTTTGTAGAATTATGTGAACTATTGTTTTGCTGATATTCAGAAAGAAGATTTTAAAACATTTCAAAAGGTGGCACATATAAGTTTCTTAAATTACATTATTCCCGAAATTAAAAAACTCTAGAAATTAATACCTTAAATAACATCCTTAGCAAAGCATTACAACAATTAGCTAGAGTGTATAGGTGAAATAAAAACAGGGAACTGATGTTTTTAGATTTTCTAGGCTCCATTTTTTTAAGGAGTTCAAGAATTTATCCCAAACAAATTAATCTAGTAGCAAAAATTAGTTCCTTTTTCACACTCTACACAGACTAAAAAAATAAGCTAAACAATAAGTTCAATGAAAAATTTACTTTAAAACAGAAATTGTTCACTCTTAAAAATTGACCAGTTTAAAACATAAACAAAACTCTTCAAGGGAAATAAAATAAAATTCATTCTTCAAAATGTTGCAATATAGTGAACAGACCACAAAACTGGTATTTTTCTCTTGTTTTTGGTTGAAAGTCCACACACATGCTACACCGAATGTGAAAACCAGACTGTAAGATGGTAATTGTGAATTTGCAGTTTATCAAAACATTCAGGTTTATGAGAAAGTAACTGGTGAGAACATCTGTCTCTTATCACCGATCTTACAAAAAATCAGGTAATTCAAACAGAGGCGTGTTGTTTCCTCTCCTCCAAAGCACAGTTCTATAAACACAAACCACATTCAGCCCGGTAAATGAATCGCTTTAATTGAATGCTATGTACACAGTAACTGGAAAAACCGTAAGTGATAAGAAAAAAACATATGGTGATGGCAACAGAAATTGGTTTATTCATTTTGCATAGTGTAGTTTCTTTAGTTCTCTTATAATTGACCTTTAGAACGACAAATGTGTAAAATAATTTTGTTTATTATGGTTCCAACCTTCCAACAATTACACAAAATGAAAATTTAAAAGGAAGGATTCATTCTGGAAGCATTTCCATTGTTTACATAATTGCACAGCTATAATTTAGTGCTCGTGTTGTTATGGGGAGAAAGGGGCCATTACAGGCCATTTCAATTCAAAATATTGCACAGTGGTGTCAAAAATGAGGGAAAAATGTTCACTTTAAAATAGTTTAAAATGGATTAACCCTGTAAACAAAGACATTTCAATATATTCTACAAAATACAAATGTTCAAGAAGTTGCTATCCTTCAAACAGAATTAGAAATATTGCAACTGTACTTTCACACCAATTACATATATATTATTCACTTAATATTTGCTCAGGGCCCAGCAGATGATGGCTGTAACATAATAGCCAGCCATCTGTCTCCCTGCCTCTCCTTGGCGAACTCGCCTGATCCTCGGGAGCAAACAGATCCGGTTATTCCACCTAAAGTCACTCGGACCTTCCAAAGGCCAAGCAGAACAGTTAAGAAATAAAACCTATGTATGCAAAATCACTGAATTCCTCCTTTAACTGTCTACTTTAAGAAAACCAAAATGCTACACAATAAATGACTTCGTTATTTTTCAGAGAAGATACCTGTCTTTACTATAGAATGTTTTATAGGAAGCTCTTGTTTGGTAAAATGGGTAATGTTCAGATCTGCTTATCCTATTCATCTGATTAATTAAAAAAGTATGACTCATACCACATCCAAGTGCAATTGCTAATTATCACAAAATTTGAATGCAAAGGGATATTTTTAGCACTAAACCTGAATATAATTTAAACTTCCTTTAACAATTCAGTAATAGCCACAATCTTGCAGTTTTCTAAATACTATAGTAAACCCTTGATTTTGCAG